AAGGATTAGTACTCAGAAAAAAGTGTATCCAGGAGCGGAACCAACTAGAGCAAATACAGCAAAATGGAATTAAAAAGTGTAACAAGAATTAAGAACCACAAACTAGCATTAACTATGGAGTAATTAAGGGAAGGAATGCTGCATATCTCTTGGGCCAGTGCACACGCGGACCTGCGCGTATGACAGGGGCTTTACTAGCGACCGTAGGAGGATCGTCATTCGTCACCGGGGGTGAGGTCGTAATGGAGTCCGGGCTAGTACCAGGTTCAGTGGGGCTATTTGGATGAGCTGGCGTGGAGGGTATCGATTCTTCGATGTACGCCGCTTTAAGCCTGTCAATGCTTACCGTGTCTTGGCGGCCACATCGCAAAATAACGAAAAATTTATCTTTGCGACTAAGGACCTTGAAAGGTCCATCATATGGAGGTTGTAGTGGCTTGCGCACAGCGTCATGGCGCACGAAAACATGAGTACAATCATCCAGCCGATGATCGACATGTACTTTCCTGTTTTGCGTGCGTGTGGAAACGGGTCGGATGCGCTGCATAAAACTTTTAAGACTCTGGGCATAACAGGCGCTCTCGGGGAAATTTGGCTCGGAAACATCAGGAGAGATAAGCTCACCTGGTAAACGAAGGGTAGTGCCATACACCAACTCGGCTGGAGAGCACTTAAGATCTTCCCTTAGTGTAGCACGAATGCTGAGTAGGACCAAAGGCAGAGAATCTGTCCACCTACTGCTATCTACTGCCATCAACGAGGCTTTTAGCTGACGATGGAAGCGCTCTACTAGTCCATTCGACGCTGGATGATATGCGGTTGTCCTGATGCGTTTGCATCCCAACAGCTCTAACAGTTTCTTGAAGCTGGTTGATTCGAATTGTTGCCCACGGTCGGTAGTGACGGTAGAAGGGCATCCGAAACGAGCAACCCAGCCTTCCATGAACATACGGCAGGTGGTTTGAGCCGTTACGTCTGGTATAGGAAAGGCCTCAGGCCAACGTGTAAAACGATCTACGCACGTAAGCAAATACGAGTAGCCGTTTGAAGGAGGTAGGGGACCCACGATATCCAGATGTACATGGTGAAACCGGGCATCTGGGGCTGCAAACGTCCCCAACGGCGTGGTATTATGCTTGGCTACTTTAGAGCGTTGGCAACTGACACAAGCACGTGCCCAGTTACGCACGTCACGATTAACACCAGGCCACACAAATCTGGCCGAAATCAACTTATCAGTCGCTCTTATCCCAGGGTGGGAGAGGTTGTGTAAGCACTCGAACACGGTGCGGCGCAAAGACATGGGAACGATAGGTCGAGGAGTGCCCGTTGACAAATCACACAGTATGAACGCTTCACTGTTCGGCAACGGGACACGTTTAATCTTCATGGAGGTTTTCTTCGACAAACTTTCGAAGTTCAAATCAGTCCGTTGGAGTTCAGCCATTTTGTTAAGATCGATGGCTGGTGGCATCGACATAGTGCACACGCGAGATAAAGCGTCTGCAACAGGATTTTCAATCCCAGATACATGCTGGATATCGGACGTGAACTGTGAAATGTAGTCCAGGTGGCGTAATTCACGTGGTGAATACCTGTCAGAAGTGGTGCGTAAGGCATACGTTAATGGCTTGTGGTCGGTAAATACTGTGAATTTCCGACCTTCGACGAAATGGCGAAAATGCTTGATAGCGGCATAGATGGCGAGGAGTTCTCTGCTAAAAGTGCTATACCTCGCTTCAGTCGCCGACAACTTCCGAGAGAAAAAGGCTACCGGTATCCATGAGTTGTGCGCTTGTTGTTGTAGTACAGCTCCAATGGCTGTGTTAGATGCATCAACCGAGATGCTAAGCGGAAGTTGGGTGTCTAGGTGAACTAACATGGTTGCGTCTGCAATCGCTGATTTAATTTTCTGGAACGCTTCCCTAGCCTCTTGTGTCATGCTGAAGGTTTTGCATTTACCCTTCAGAAGGTCTGTGAGTGCATGTAAAATATGTGCACATTGAGGAACGAAACGTCGGTAATAACTTACCATGCCTAGGAATGTGCGCAAAGATTTCATGGACGTAGGCTCTGGGAAGTTTTGTATGGCTAGTACCTTCTCAGGTAACGGTCGAATGCCATGTTCGTTAACGACATGTCCCAGAAAATTCAACGAATGTACGCCAATCTGGCATTTTGACATGTTAAGTGTCAAACCGTGTGTTGCTAATCGCTCAAAAACTATCTGCAAATGCCTACGGTGAGTAGCTTCATCTGGGCTAGCCACGAGAATATCGTCCAGGTAGGCATACGCGCAATCTAATCCGCGCAAAACATCATGTATGAAACGCTGGAATGTTTGTGCGGCGTTGCGGAGACCAAACGGCATGCGGAGGAATTCGAAAAGACCAAAAGGAGTGATGACTGCCGTTTTAGGAATATCCTCAGGATGAACTGGGATCTGATGATATGCTCTAGTTAAATCAAGTTTACTGAAAACCGTTGCACCATTGAGGGAAGATGTGAGATCATGTATGTGGGGTACCGGGTAACGATCTGGCACGGTCTGCGCATTAAGTCTGCGATAATCGCCACAAGGTCGCCAATCTAACCCGTTATTCTTGGGTACCACGTGCAGAGGTGACGACCACGGGCTGCTTGAAGGCCGGATGATTCCAATTTCTAACATGTGTTCAAACTCAGCCTTAACGGCTTGTAGTTTTTCCGGAGACAACCGTCGGGGCTTTGCGAAAACTGGCGGACCAGTCGTAACAATATGATGTGTGACATTAGAAGTCACGCTTGGTAGACAACGGGTAGGTTTAAACAAGTCCGGAAAGGATTGAAGTATATCAGAATATGGTCCAGCTAAAGTTGGTGTAGCGTATACTGGGCTGAGAGCTGGGCCTTGTGTGACGATACCGCTGACGGAGAGGTTTGTGACAGGATCTCTTAACTTATGATTACCTGTATCTACCAGTAATTGGTAGTGCTGCAATAGATCCATGCCAATTATACCTGTGGTAACGTCTGCCACCAGGAAGACCCAACGAAATGAACGACGCAAACCGATGTTAAGGTCTATAAAGCGCCTGCCGAACGTAGCAATTGGCGAACCATTTGCGGCTCGTAGTTGAAGAGACATTGGCCGCCTGCGCTCCTCTACTGTGGGTGGGATTACACTGACCTCCGCTCCGGTATCAATTAGGAAGCGTATCCCCGTGTTACGGTCGGTAACATAGAAGAGGCGACATGAGAGTGGTTCGCCAGCGACGTTAGTCGCCAGTACGTGCTGGCCTGCTAGTTTCCCGATTGTTGAACATCGAAGGTGCACGGGCGAGTGCACTTTTGGGCTTTTGCTCCGTAACGTCGATGATACCAGCACACTCCAGGCTGGTTACTTCGGGACTGTCGGCGCTTGCTGCTAGCACGTGACAAGGGTCTACTACTACGCGAACTCGAGCGACTGCGTGCACGACTCCTGGAGTTCATCTCCTGTCGTATACTACAGATCTCCTCGTATAGCTTGGCTATATGGGCCACCGCGTCAAAGCTTGATGACCCCCCGTCAGAAGAATCTTTAGTCTGAGCGGGAGCAGCGGTTACTGTTGCGGAAATGCCAATTTTAGGATTGATGGCCTCTACCGCTCTATCAGCTGCCTCGGCTATCTCCTGTAAGGGGTACTTGTAGATCGGTGCCAAGATACCCTGGACTGTCTGAGGTAATCTTTGAAGCCAAAGCTGTTTCAGAAAGACCTCGTCAATTTTAAAGTCCGTCACTAACTGCTTCATCTGCCTCAACATTTGTGAGGGCTTGCGGTCACCTAACTGAACATCTCGGAAACGTTCCTGCACTTTCTGTTGGTCAGTAAGTGCGACTCGTTGAATTAACGCCTGTTTGAGCCGCTCGTACCGATCCGGAGACGGATCTGCAAGAACGTCAAACACCTCGTCTATGACATTTTCAGGCAGGCTCACAATCGCTCGGTTTACTTTGGTCTCTTGTGAGTGTATGTGCCTAATGGCAAACTGAGCCTCTATATGATTAAACCATGCAGCTGGACGATGTGTCCAGAAGGCGGGGAGTTGCAGCGTTATAGCCATCTCTGAAGCAGAACCGTTGTCAGCCATCTTGCACACAAGACAAAATATTAACAAGGTGATAAAAACCAATATAAGTATAAACAAAACAAATCAAATCTTTATAACCGTGCGTGAAAACAAAAAAATTAACAAGATAGACGGTATGTAAAAAGAATTATTAACACGTTGAGCTACTATGGCGGAGAACGGTGAAAACGGGCTCCCAACTTGTAAGTGTTGGGGCTAGACTTAAGATAGACCTCGATATCACCACACTCACCAAAAACTTCACCGTCCTATAACTTTACCAGTACTCTACCTAACGTGTAAGTACTGATTAACGCAATCAAAGTTTAAATGCTAAAAATGGAAAGAATTCGTAGTATGAGTTGTATTTAATGTAGCTGAATAACAGATTTAATAAATAAAGTGACTGTACAACTTATCTGCTGACTCGACTGGAGGTAGGCTCGAAGAGTGCGCTGTATGAAAGCACAACGAGGGAGCGAACCAAGTGCGTCAGGAAAATCACAGATCAAAAATCCAGAAGCGCCAAAAGTGGGGTGAGTGAATTTTAACAAAAGTTCAGAGGTTTAATGTCCACTACAAGCTAATTAAAATATTAGAAATTTTAAATGATGACCACGGACCCGACCTATTCACTCTTTTTCTACCCACCCACCCAGAACACCCGTGGAGACATGGCATGGGAGTTAGGAAGACAAGGGGGATCTAAATAGCTGTGGAGTATTGGATATAACACCGTCGTAAACTCCTGGAAGAAATTCCCAGAAGAAGTGGTGTCAGCACCTTTAATTGATTCATTCAAGAATGGTCCAGAAAAGAGCAGAAATTTACTAGAGAAGTATTAACATAGCATTCAAGCATTCTATCCTCCATCAATTAGTCTGACATCTTGACTTTGGAATCCGATACGTTGAGTAAGACGCGGACTGTATAAATTGGACGCTTCACAAGTGAGTTCATCAACCGTGAATGTTGTATCGGGATTTATGTCCGTTTGATCCCCTTGTTTCATGAAAAATGTCTGTTGCACAACTCTCTGAAACTTTTTGTGCCTTTAACTTGCAGAATTTTACCATGTGCATGCACGCTGCATGTATATTGTATTCACTTATAACGTCATCAGCTATACTATTTCCGAAGACTTTTCTAAATAAGTAGGTAAACTTGTAAAAAGCCTAATTAAAATCTTCCATCAAACGAGCATCCTGGGTCTTTATGAGTCTGTATAGACAAGTGAAGTTGTCGGCCGCATTTCGACCCAATGCAGCTTTATCTTTTTAGAAAATTTCGGGTTATTTTAGAAAAAAAAATCACTTTCTAAAAGTCTATGCTATGATCATCGTCGAAATTGCCAGCAAATTATTTTACTCGGATGGGACATCGTTCATGATGGAAATTTTCGAAGTTGTTATAGTATCTGCTTTACGCTCCAAGTTTATTTTGAGACATAACTAGAAACTGATCGAGTGGTTTTGCTGCTCTTAAGTTATTAATGCTGAACGTCTATGAGTTCTGAAAAAATGCAACGGGAATAGGCTGATTAATCAGCCAGCCAGCATTTTTTTCGGGCGCATTTCCAACTTTTGGGCAGACTTGGGCAAATTGCAGACTTTTAGGGACAGACTTAGGGCGCATTACAGACTTTTTGGGGCAGAATTTGGGCACGTTGCAACTTCCCAGGAAGACCTAGGGCGCATTGCAGACTTTTTGGGGCAAACTTCGGGAAACTGTCCCACGTAAGTAGATCTACCCGAAGTTTTTGCCCCAAAAAGTCTACAATGCTCCCGAAAAAAACGCTAGCTGGATTCTTTAAAATCGTAATCAATACATGTGAGAAATGTTTCGTATAGTAAGTCATAAAGTTATAAATACCTTGACATGTAACCAGCAAAAATATTTTCATTTTGTCATGCGTTTAAGGTTGAGAAGTAAAGTGATGAGACTCTATCCAAAAGTCACAAGCAAAAATCTTACGACAATGATGAGCGGAGACGTAGAAAACCAAGAAATATAGTATTATGGTTTGGCTTAGGGTTGAATAAGGGCTTATCTATCTTTAGACATAATATGGAACCTCTAACTATATTCTTTGTATCGTGAATCTCAGACAGTGATTCAGTATTCTTTTCACATGGTAGTGAGAAGTTTCACGAATTGATGACATATCTGTAAGTGTTGTTACTTTTATCTTTCTTTAAATCCTTTCCCATCACAGATAACATAACTCATTGAGATACATGGTGTGCCGAACACATGACCTAACCAATCTAGCCAATAAGGATCCACTGAATGAAGCAACTCGCTTCTCATTTTTCTGCATACTACGTCTGACTGCCTTGTTGATCATAGCATGGTATGGGTGAAGCTAACGTTTATTTGGTTTCGTAACTTCAGTTGATTTATGAACAAACCAACGAAAGCTGTGATATAATACTGGTCTATAAAACCACTAGCTGCTGGGCATTAACTACTCATGGGGTTTCAAGGATCCTGGTTTTTACTTGTGGTTCCAAACACTGACATTTGAATTTCAGTATGAGCGTGATAGTTGCATCCAGCCGTAGTCTATCTGTAGGATATTAGTTTCGTGGCAATTTGTTCGTTTATCCCTTGCTCTTTGTTTCTTTTTATTTGTTATTTTACCCATTATTATATCTGATGTAAATCTCAGTAATTCCCCTTCTGCTAATTTTTCTTTAAGCGCTAACGTAAAGCGATATGTTATTGCGATCATACACTAAAGTAATTTACAAAACTAAGTTTTAAGACCCATTGATTCAATCGATATATATATATATATATACATATTTGTGAAGTTATATCAGTTGAGATGGTCACAGACACGTGTCGCGCATTCTGACTTACCGCCTTCTTCGACGAACAATAACTGAAAGGATTAGCTGGGAATAGAGTTAAGGGTGGTTAAATCAAAACATGAGATCAGTCAATGAATTTTTTGACCGTTAATTTGGGAAAATCGCGTAAAAAGGTGTAGACTGCCTGACTGAGGTCTTCAGGATACCAAGTAACAATAGCTAGAGACTATAAGTGATATTGCTCAAAATCGCCGTCACTGGTGTAGATGTATTCATTCTTTATAATCTTACAGATTTATTAAATTCTCTTTTCCATGTGACTATTTTTTCTTCTTGTTATGTACTGGTCGAGAAATTAATAGTCTTGACGCAAGAAAGACGGAAATCAGAAGACCACTAGGTTTGTGATGATACTTCTATATTCCAAACACAAGGAGAATCAATGACACACAAGTGTGTGAGAGCAAAAATATATGAATGTCCGAAAGTGTGTGAGCGAATATTCAAATGAACAAATCAATAGACAGTCTTAACATGATTGGCTAATTATAATGGAATATCGATCCATATATACATAGCAAAATATATCAGACTGTCGAACAAAACACACATATTATATGGATATATATCACTTCCTCACTCAGTCAATCACTTAAGAACGACGTTGTATTCAACTATATATATATATATATATATATATATATATATATATATATATATATATATATATATATATGACTTGTATAAAGTATTTCATCTTTATCCTCATTTTTATAGCTTTGTTTTTATCTATATGACTTTAATAATTCTCTAATCTGTTTTTAGCCTGCTTACTTACTGTTAATCCCTATGCAGTGTCTTAATGGCTGGAAGTTCTAAACTGGCTGATCTTCTTGACCTGTCAACTCCAAGTGTATCCGAAGGTATTCAGTGCCCATCAGTTAAAAAATTCATCACCAGATAGTTATTCAAAGTCTGTTAAACAAATACGAAAATTCAGAAATATATACATGGTTAGGCAGAAGTATTCTACTTTCAATCAATCCAAAGTATACATCTGCACAAAATTATTCCTGTGACAATGTGAATGAGTTTACTGAGGTAGTTATTTATTTTATTCATGTATGATGTTTAATCATTATCTTACTTAGGTTTCTTCTTATTGCTGGAGAAAACCGCATGTTTTTTCTGTTGCTGAAGAATGTTTATGCCAACTGGCTCGTACAGGACATAATCAATCAATTATTATTACTGGTACAAGTGGATCAGGAAAAACGGAAGCTACCAAGCATATATTACATTATTTAGCTCATAAAAGTAGTGTAAAACGTCGAAAACAAATGTGAGATTATTATTATTATTATTTTCTGCTTGTTATCTCATCTGATCGTTCTTTATTTTTTTTTACACAAGTAATACTTCTCGCCTATTATTTGATCAGTCTCCTTATGGGGGTAGCTTTCACCGTGATATGGTGGTTGGGCTTGCATATTTGAATGACTCACAACCTTAGCTAGTTGAAAACGATGCTCCTGCTCGGATAACAGTTAGACTGAAGGCAGTTACCCTCGTGGTGTGAGCTACTCAATATGTTGAGGGTCTGTAGGCAAATTCGTACTGTGAGGGAATAGGCATGCAACAACAGTAAGGTGTTTTCTTCGGGTGACTAGAAAGCCAGGTATGTTACCTCTCCGCTCTACCGTGAAGGAGGGTAGTTGGAGGAAGTCAGCGCCGAAAATTGTACATTCCGACTTATCTTGCTACGGTCCGTAGCTGGTAAGGTCATCGTACGGATACAACCCCGAATATCACTTTGGACACACCCCAAACGTATGTCTCCTGTGACCTCTGATAGGATGATGTAGTCCTTCTAGATGAAGACTCCTAGCCTAAAGGCAGGGATTGAAGTGGTAGGGCGTGTTGACCGCTTACTTCACTTATTAGGGAAGTCGCATCAGCCAGCGCCAGTAGGTTGATCTCTGAAGAAATCTGAATACGGATACAGAAGTCTCGTTTGGCGTATGCCTACCAAATTACGCCATCTCTGGCCATTGACCAAAGGGCGTGTATACTACTCATCAGTTCACTCTGTTATCCTTTGTGGCTGCGGGTGAGATATGGTCATTGAAAGTGGAAGACTTGAAAAGGCTAGCTAGCTGTCTTTGATCGTAAATGTCTGCGTTTTATCTGCCTTGTTAAGTGGTACAATAAGGTGAGCAATATTGAGGTTAGACATCAGTGGGGTGTGAGGTGAGGAGAGGAAACAAATCAACGAGGTTGTGAAGCTACACCGATTGATATGGTTAAGACATATGCTACTCTTGTCTAGTCATCGCCGTCCTCGACAACGGGCAATGTTAGATGACATAGGATGGATCAGGTTGGGAAAATAGCTAGTGGTGGTAGTCAAACCAAACCATGGCTTCATCAGTCAGTGAAATGCGTAACAGTTAGTTTAAGCCAGTCGTGCAGCCACGTAGGGAGGTGTAGACTAGCTGACTGGCTGGTTGAAGTCCTCGAGATGGTAGGAAGCAAAGAAGGCTGGAGACGATTGGTGACATGGCTGAAGCTCATTTTTTTCAGTGGCTGGCGATGATGCATCAGCTTTTTGTGATTTATTATATCCAATTAGATTCTATTGTTCTTCCATATTACTATTCTTTCTGCTTCACTTTTGGTTATTGTCTCACTTTTGAATCTCTCTTTACTGTCTTCTTTTGCTTTTTGTGCCACATGGAGGAAGTGTGGCAACTTGAACTAGTGCATATCTGTTCAAAGTTCTATGTTGAAACCAGTCGGCATTGCTTTTTAAGGGGTGGTGTTGCTAGCTTTAATGCCAACTTCCCTCCTTTACTGGGCTTATTACCGACTAAGTAAGGTTCAGAAGTATGTAGGTGGCTGAGAATCAAATTTGAGCCACATAGACGGTTGGCGAGCATTTTACTACTGAACCCTCAGTAAGGATACATGGGGCTAGTTTCGCATATGCCAGTTTACGCCGTCTCTGGCGTAGACGTGATATTCGACTATCGACCAAAGGGCGGGTGTACTGCTCATCAGTCAGCTCCGTCCTCCTTTATGGCTGGCTATGAGACCTGGCCATTGAGAGTGGAAGACATGAAAATGTTGGCTGGCTGGCTGTCTTCGATCATAGGTGCCTACGTTCTATCTCCCGTGTGAAGTGGTATAATAAGGTGAGCAGTACTGAGATTTGTCATCGGTGGAGTGCTAGGTAGGTGGGAGGGGAAATCAATCGACGAGGCTGTGAAATTACATCGACTGAGATGGTTAGGACATGTGTTACGCACGTATGCCTAGTCGTCGCCTTCCTCGACAGTGGGCAGTGTTAGCTGACATTGGGTCAGGCTGGAGAAGAGCTCAAGAGCTAGCGGCGGTCAAACCAAAACGTGTCATCAGTCAATGAAATCCATAACAGTTAGTTTAAGCCATGTAGGAGGGTGTAGACTTCCTGGTTGGGGTCCTCGGGACGGTAAAAACCAATGGTTGGAAATAGTTGGTGATATGGCTCAAAGTGATCGTTCTCAATGGCTTGCTCAGATGCATCCACTCCTTGTGACTTATAATTCCCAATAAAACCCCATTGTTCATCGATATCACTATTCTTTTTGCATCACATCTTTATTTACTGTCTCTATTTTACGTTTCTTTTTACTTTCTTCTCTGGCTTTGTGTGCTGAGTGAAGTGTGGCGGCTTGAACTGATGCACATTGGTGCAAAGTTCTATATCGAAAACAGACAGACAGACTACTGAACCACGGGCGCGAGATTAGTGTTGATGCAATTTCACAAATAAGTCCTGTCAGTTCATTCTCTATCTTTAAGCTAAGAGTCAGTGTAGTACAGTCCCACAGCAATATTATTTTACATTTGACAGAAGGCAAATCACATGCAGAATATTTTAAGTTTTCTGCTCAAGGTGACTCTTCAGGAGACTCTTTATTTTGTCCATTGTCCTTCACATAGAAAGACAATATTAACGTCACATTCTTAGTCGGTAATGCTGTTCCCCAGGAAACAAGTCAATCCGTAAGTCCCTAAAGTTAATAATATAATAATAATAATTTTTCCTTCACGTTCCCAGTGGAACATAGGGCTTCAAGCTAGTGGCTTGAAGTTTCTGTTGCGGTGTTTATTTTTTACAGGATGGGGTCGCTAGCCCCATGCCCAACCTTTTCTTCCTACCAGCATTATTTCTGGCTTAACGAGGTAAAGGAGTGCGTCGGCCGGGGATCGAATCCCGGACCATGCGCATGGTTGGCGAGCATCCTAACCGTTGTGCCACCGACGCTAAGTCCCTAAAGTTAGTTAGTATCAATTGCATTGATACGTCTCTAAAGAAATCAAACAAAACTGGTGATATGTATCCACATATATATATTTATGTGTGTGTGTGCATGTTGGTCTCTCTTTCTGTTTGCTCGGTTAGTCTGTGACCACTTCACTTGTATGGACCTGTCTCCTTTAATAATGTGTATTCTCCTTATATTATATTATATATAATATGAGTGTTTGTTGACAGTCCGTTGCTTGGTGACATATATCCATATATGTTGGTTGTTGGCATGTCTGCTATATTCGCTATGTATAATTGGATCGACACTCCATTATAATTAGCCATTCATGTTAAGACTGTCTAATGATTTTTCCCACGCTTTGTCTAAATTATTTATATATATTCGCATTCAATTTGTGTGACTTTACTTTACAACTACTTGACTTACTTATCACTTTGGTGTGAGACCATTTATTTTCGTCTCCTTGTGTTTGGACAATAGAAGTATCATCGCAAACCTAGTGGTCTTCTGATTTCTGCCTTCTCGCGTCAGGACTATTAGTTTCTCGACCAGTCCATAACAATAACTTAGCGACGAGTACATAACAATTTGGCGACGGGGAAACTAGAACATAACAACTGGGGACACTGGGAATCTCTGACACGAGCATCACTTCATATAACAACTCTCCCTTCAAATAATGTCTTACACGACTGCATGAGTCTGAGTAGAGTGTTTTATTTAATTTATTTATTTTAATCCTTTACTTTCCAAGTGGAAAATACGGCTTCAAGCATTGAGCTTTAGAGTTTCAGCGGCAGTGGTGTTTATTTTTTTTTCCATTGTGGGGTTGCCAGCCTTACGCCCAACCTTCCCTCTTTCTCGGGGGTTTAATGAGGGTTAAACAAGGTTAAGTGTTGGTTGCATCAGTCAGGGATTGAACCCCCGGACGATGTGGTTGGTTGAAGAGTAGTCGTATACCAGTGAACCAACGACGATGTCTTGATTAGTATAATATGCTTGCACGGCACTTTCTTTGCGGCCAAACATTTCTGCAGTATCTTTCCGTCGACGAATTGAAATGTCTCCTTCAAGTGAAGAAATATGTCAGGTGTTGGACGCCCGTAAGTAGTGACTACATTCCAGAATCTGTTGAAAGGTTTTATTTTACTTAAACGCATAAAGACTTGGTACAATATGGCACCAAGAAGGATGCGCCACACAATAATAATAAAACATAGATCAAAAGAAAAAAAGAAGGAAGAGAAAAAAATATATACATAAGTAGAGAACGGATAAAGAACTTCACCTGGAAGGAAAACAGTCATACCACTTAACAAGTTCAAACAGTATTCGTTAACTATCATCGGGAAGGGAAGAAAGAAGGAAATTGCAACACGTGTAATAGCACGCGATAAGTTTCATTGATTGTTTGTTGCTTCATTCATTTCATTGTGTGAGGGCTGAGATACTGCCCGGGCGTCCAGACCGAAGCTGGTGGTTTTATTAAGGGACCACCCCACGAGCCTTTGACTTGGAGTCTAACCCGCAAGACAGCGGAGCAGCGTCAGGAGCTGCATTCCCATGGTTTCCGGTGAACCACATGGGTTCATACGCCATTTGATCTTATTGGATACTGGAACCCATGTACCCCATGGTAACTGCTTTTAAATTAACCTCTATCCAAACAACCTTCCTGACATGGTAGAATCTGCAGGGACAGAGTCCCAGCCAGTTTAGCTTGTTGGGTCATTACGGTATTCAAGCTCGACCACCACCACCAGTTATCGACCGGGTGTTGAAAGGTGCATATATACATATATTATCGATACACCCTCTTCCTAGCCTAAAACTTGTCTACCTTTCCCCGCGTTTCTTTCTCACAACCACCACTTAATCGATGCTTGATTATTGAACCTAGAATTTTAAATAATATGTATTAGTCAAAATTACCCCGCTATGATTATCATCACACAGGAAGACTTATCTCCCTTCTTGTAAACTAGGATAATCAATAGTTTACATCGATGTGATGGAACTCTCTCTGATTCCAAGACATTACCTGATACTAGTAAAACAATAAGTCATTTTGATAAATTTGAATAAGGCATTTAAAAGACAATTTTCACGAGATGATATCTTCATTTCGTAGTTTCTCTACAATCGCTTTACAACTAACATAGATCACAATAGTAAAATTAAATAAGATGCATGACAATTACTTAGTTATGTAAAACAGAAGTACATACTCTGCTAATGACCAATCATATTTAAATAAGTCAAGTAGTCCATATATTCATCTAAATATCCTAGTGTGACTTCCAAACTCGAATCGAATAAAAGGTTCGGTTTCCTGGATATTTCAATCACCAGGAGAGTCGATGGAACGATTAAGTGATCGATCTATATTTCGTAAACAGACATGGGGGGGACAATATCTTCATTTCACTAGTTTTGTTCCTATCCAGTATAAACGTTCCCCAGCGTGAAGTGTTTGTTTTCAAGGGCCCACAAAATATGTACGAGTGATACATTAATGGATGAGTTTCGAAATATACATTCAGTTTTATTAGTTAATGGTTATACAGAAAACTTACATAATCAATTGTCACAGTAAGGATAGACCACATTTTGAAAAGACAGCTTCTGTACCAAGGAAAGCTGTCTGTATTAACCTACCCCATTCAAGGGTGATCAAATTATACAGTCGATAGCTCAATGACTTTGGTCAACCATCAAGAACACATTCTACGCCACATTTATTTTTCTCACATACCGAACATTTTCGATCCCTTTACCTACGATTAAAGGACGAAATTCGATTCACACTGTATCTACACAGTTCACCTGCAGTTGCGGTGACACACACACTATATAGATAGAACCAATAGAATGTTCGAATGTTGTCGAAAAGAACATGTTCCAAAATGGCTATTAAAACACGTAGAATATCCCAATGCCATTATTAATCTGAATAGAAATTCATCAGTATCATCCATTGCAAAACAGTTATTAATGTCAGATCACAAAATAAATATTAATTAATGACTGCTTCACAATTATTTCATCACATAACTCTAATTCAAGGTTGGTTATTGAAGGTAATGGAAGCACTTCGGGGATTAATCAAATACATCCTAAACTATGTGTACAACAAAAACCAATAGACTTCAACCTTCACCTACCATGGACTGACTACCTGACCTATTTAAATATGATTGGTCATTAGCAGAGCATGTACTTTTGTTCTGTTTTATATAACTGAGTAATTGTCATGCATTTTATTTTATTATATTATTGTGAACCAAGCATGTTAGTTGTAAAGCGACTTGTAAAGAAACTACGAAATGACGATATCATCTCGCCAAAATTTGTTTTCTAAATGCCCTTATTCATACTGTGGTGAGATCTACCTGCTAGCCAAAATTGGTACACAGCAATTTACGTCAATATTTACGTTCCATACCTTGGTCATGGAAAAAACACAAGAACAAAGACTAACTACTCAACAGCCAATCACAGCGGGCTTTGCGTGGGCGGATATGAATCGCAGATATTATAGTCTAACAATCAAAGAAATCGCCACAAAGAGATGACAGAATAACCTTCAGCAGGAAAACAGTCCATCAGAAGACGTTACATCTCTGCTAGCAATAACGCCAATAATAATGTACATAAAAATCCGTAGATATCTGTTGATTTTCTGAATAAACAATCTGTTACCTAGTCCTTGTCTTCTGTCATTACAATACTACTTAGTGCCTTGGTTAACCCGGGCAGCAGTTTGTCACTACTACGCTTTAATAATAATAATAATTTAGTTTATTCCAAAACAGACAGTACTTATAATACAGAATGGAATTCTCAGCATTTGTCACAACACCTTGCATCTGATTTACTCAAAATATAAATAAAATTAAAAATTAAAACAAAATTAACCGGAGGAATTTGTCCACATTTACAGTATAAAGTTAAAAATATTCGACGCACGAATTGAGAATATTTAATAATAATAATAGTGAGTTTGTTTCACACAGTATTGTCGATTCAGTATGGAAATTTTAGCATTTTATAGGTTATTGAATCTAATGTTCTGTTGATATAGCAGCATGGTGAGGGGAAATACAAAATTAACAGTTATTTACACAGCTTAAATGATGTTCACACTTATAAAAAAAAAAATTGAGAGGGTTATAAGAATGTAAGAAGTACAATAACAATAAAGGTTGATGTTGTAAGGGTGGAGGAAATGGTTTATTTATTAGTGCAAAGAAGGTTAGTTAGTTCATGCCTAACACTATTTTCATCACATAGAGTACATGCAGCGAAATATGGTATAATGGAATTTTTATACTTAGACGTACGTGCATAAAATCTGAAAAGACTTCTTGTTTTACCTGAGGAGGAGACGCAAGGTTGGAGCTGCGAGTAGAGTGGGTACTCACAGTCTGACAAAATTCCTTTGGCGAATTTGTTGCATGACATCAAGTGCCTATCAGTGACAATGTCAACGATATGGCCCACTGGGATAGCTGCCACTCGCCTTACTGACAGTCTTCAGAGTTCTACGAAGTATGACATAGTCTTCTTTGGGCAATCCAGGAAAGAATCAACAAGGGTGAACAGTAAAGAAGAATAGGTAAGATGCACGAGTTGACAAACTGTAAGAGGAGGAGGGGTTGAGTTATGCCTGAGTGCCTTAACCACTTCTTAATGTAAAAAGTCAGACGAAATATTCCATTAGAAATCTCTAAGACATGGGAAGACCAGGATGGGTAGGTCAGAAGGGAAAGAATTAATCCAAGATACTCAACAACTTCAGACTTGATTTCTATATCCTCACTGTCATCACTTTTCTAAGGGTCATAGGAACCAACAGCTTCATCATTTAACTTTCTTTTACACATCGCAAACTGAAATTAACAGTCCGACATTTAGAAGAATTTAGTTTAAGGCTGTTAGACGAAGACCATTTGCTGACTCCTGATAGAAAGTTGTTCATCGATTTATCGTTTGATGTATAGTTCGTACAAGTTTATATACAAGTTTTTCGCTAACTCAGTCATTCAATCTTCAAATGTTTATTTGTGTGTAATTTGTTCTTAAATTGTGGATGGTGACTAGCAGTGGAATCCAGGACACCGCACATCTCGTCCTATTTGAGACTCGTCAGCTGGATGTACCTGCATTTTCCCAGTGAGTGATGATGTTCCCAACGAGGCTCGAATCCGGTGCCCACGGTTTCAAATACCAAGGCGTTATCCACTAGACCACTTGGGCCACGAGAGCCACCTCTTGTGCAATGGGTCATATTCATTATTTAATTGAATTTTTGGTGAAGTTCAACAATACCTTCCCAGGAATGTGAACGCTCCAGTGACCTTGAACGCACGCTAGTCGTTGGCTAACGCCATCTGTCATTATCATAACTGAAATATCAACGCTATTCACCAACTTAGGAGCGAATTTCACCCAGACCAGGTTTTTTAAGCACTGTTTGGACAATGTGTTATATAGCTCGTTAGGATTAGGCTTAGGGCTAAGGTAAGTTTTAGGGTTAGGGTTAGGATCAGGGTTGTAATTAGCATTAGGGTTAGAATTACGGTTTAGATAAGGGTTATGCTTAGGGTTAGTGTTAGGGTCAGGATTAAGCTTATGGTTACGATTAGGGATAGATTTATAGTTGATGTGTCATTTATTTTAATTTGTTTTAGTATCCACGTTCTCCTGGTAAGTAGTCATCTATGCTCTTGCTAGAAACCATAACAATTCAATCGAGGGCTTTTTTGGAAGATTGGAAGCAGGATGAGAGAGAGAGAGATAAGCGGTCCACAAAAACAGTTTATCTGTAGTCTCATCTCGGTGAATACACATGTACAGAAACTAGTCCAACTTAACAACAGATACTCCTCGATATAACTAGGACGTATTTTTAGGCCATATCAGAGAAAGATAACCTGATTGGTGCTTTTTCAAGCATTTTCTTGTCAATACACATCAATTTTTGAACAAACATTCCTCATTTTTATGATTGGTCGGCTGAAGGGGACTCGTGCGTTTGCACTCCTTGGACGCCCAATACTACTTAGTGTCCTGGTTGGTTAACCCAGGCAGCCACTACCACCATCCTTTAATAAAATTCATCGATTTATCGTTTGATGTATAGTTCTTAAAAGTTTATATACAAGTTTTGTTTTGCTAACTCAGTCATTCCAGCCTTCAAATGTTTATTTTTGTGTCATTTGTTCTGTGTTGTTTTTTTCTTCTTTCCCTGTGTATTATAATGAATAATTCAATAGAGCGAAAACTGAAACGCATATCGAGAATACAATTCTACAATCGAATCCTGTCCTAGAAGCCTTAGGTAAATCGATTTTGAGTTGTCTGATTTAAAATGCCCATTAAAGCTGTTTTTTTTTCAAAAGAATAGATACTGAACAAAGAGTACTCTTCTTTTCGATAACCCCTTTCCATCATCAGGCTCTACAGTTATGTGTATACATTATAGTGAATGAATGAATGAATTAGTGTTATGAACAACATTAATGTTACTGTTTAAATAACATCGAATCAATAATAATACCAATAGATTACAGCTCAATGGCATCAACATAACAATAAACTGAATGTTAGACAGAGAAATTAGGAAAGATAATAATACAAATTCATGAATTTCTAGTCTCCACTGAAGGTTGGCCAGAGCGGTAGTAGGGGCTGATTGGACTTGCTTCTTCTGCATACAGAGGCGAATTGCTTCAATAGCCTTTGGTGTTTGGAGAATGCGGTGCTTCGATGATTTTGGCAATTTATTAGGCACTCGGTAGATGACTGGCTTTATGGCCGGTTTGCACCAGATGGTCTAATGTCGAACTGTCAATGGTTTTCACTACACCTCTTTACTTAGCCATAGTGGGAGATGTTCTCGAGAGAGCAGAAAAAAAAATCCTAAAGTTCCTAGAGCAACGGCCAATATAACTCGCTTCACTACAAGCGGTGCAGTTGAATTGGTAGATACAATTTGAAGTGGCCAGCTAGTCTAGGTACTTCATCTTTCAGTCGAGGTAGCACCATCGATCGTGTAGAGAATAAGGTGTGTAGTTCGCCAGCAGTAAAAACTTCTTTGAACTGATTCTCTTAATTTCCTCGTAATTATCTCACTTGGTATATCGCCATTGAATTGTAGTCGTATGTATAAAGTGGCTTCTTGTTTACAGATAGGGATCAGTTCTTTTCCATTCTGAGTTGTTTGATTTTTTAAAATTTATTCTTATTTATTTTGAATTCTTCATTTCACAAAGGTAATGCACAAACACAATTCAATGAGAATAGTTCACGTTTTGGTAAATATATACGTCTCATTTATGATCGGTAAGTTACGACTTCACACATTTTTTGTTGTTGATATTTTCTTCTAAATTAAAGGAATCAAATTCTTGTTGGAGCTAAACTGCAAATTTATCTGCTGGAAAAACCTCGAGCTTTATTCACACCTAAATCGTTACATGCATCATTTCATATATTCCGTTGGGTAAGTAGTAGTAGTACACTCTAACCATACACGAGTTGTGTTTTCTTTTGTTTGTAATTAATAACTATTGATTTCTTTTTCAAGGCTTGTTTTTTGTTACAGGGATTTTGATTGATCGATTTCAAAGTTGGATCATCAGCTGACAATTTTAGTCAGAGGTGTATGTGCTTTGCACTGTCTAAGTGCAAAGTACTGTTACAGTATTGGCAGGAGACTGTACCTACACTCATTCTTGCGGGTGAACTGCTTGAAGTTGTCGATAAGTTTGTGACGGATGAGATTTTCAACTGTATCGTGAAAGCATACGTTAACTTGAGCCACCTCTAGCGCCACCGCGACGTTAAACTGGCTGTCAAAGGTCAGGTATACAATGCTTCGGTGTGGGCTGTCTTGCTCTACGCCTATGAAACCTGGCTTCTCCGAGCTGAGGATGTGCAGCGGCTCTGCGTATTCGATCATCGCTGCGTTCGATGGAATCATCGTGTGAATAATTCTGAGGTTAGGCGGCGTGTTTTTACCAACAACTGTCTTCGCTCTATACTGAAGATCAGATGACCGGGCCGGAAAGAATCACCAACTATGGGAAACTATGGGAACAAACAAACAAACAAAACAAGAACCAACCAATCGCCAACCAACAAATATACAGGAGAAAGTGGATGGGGATGGATTGGACACTCGCTCGCTGAGGAGGCATCGGGCTGGGTGACACTGCGCGCGCGTCAGGCCATTGGTCGAGTGGAACCAGGCCGAAAGAGAAGCGGCGAGTGGGACGTCAGTGCAAGGGTGATATGGAGGAGATCGTGTGAAGAGGAGGAGGAGGAGGAGGAGGAGGAGGAGGAGGAGGAGGAGGAGGAGTTAAAACAGTATGGAGTAACATGGATGCAAGTGAAAAGTACAGCAGAAGGAAGACAGAAGTGGCAAGTGGAGACGTTTAGTTGAAGCCCTATGTTCCACTAGGAACCCAAGGGAACAATAATAATAATAATAATAATGTCTGAATGAGGATTATTCAGGAATCAAATGACTTATTTTTTTTCTCCTCATATTTTTTCAGTTTTTAGAATCTCTCTCAGAAGAGGATCGTGTACAGTTTTGTTTAAATGATTGTCAATATCCTCGACGTCAAGATTATGGGGATGCAGAGAACGCTGAGGCATGTAAACAATCAATAAATGACTCCAATTGGTCACGCTTACTTGAAGCTTTTTCATCAATTAATATTAAAGACGAGAAATTGCATCAATTTTATAAGTTATTAACTGTTATACTCTTATTGAACAGTGTTCATTTCTATTCTTCTGGACCAGTTGTAAATATTGACTTGAATCAAGGTTCCACTGATCCACAAATTCATTCTCCACAATCAAGTGATAGTCAACAATCACAGTATTTTGATGATCCTGCCGGTATAGCTGTTCTCACCTCGGATGATATACACAAGAGTAAGTTTATATATATATATGTCTGCTAAATGACTTTTACCTCATTTAGACAAAGCAATAAGAAGACGTAATTTGTCTGAATCGTGTTGTCATGTATTTGCGTGTAACAAATCTCTTAGCAATCTGATCACACAAAGGACTTGTCACAGGAATATACCTTTAAATTTATTATTATTATTTCCTTTAATTCCTGGAGGAACATGGGGCTTCAGCCGCGCGTCTCCATTGCGTTCGGTTTTCTGCTAAAGTTTTCACCTGGCTCCAAGTCAGCCTCCAAAGCCTCAGGATGGTCGGGGGTGGGTGCCTTGCGCTGCGGGTTGGCCACCCCTCCGTACACCTCTTGAAATGCTCCCATATGACCGGGCGTCTTACATAGCCTCTCCTGAGGAAGTCCTACTCACTGCCTTCACGTGGCGGAGGTGTTTTTCACTGAAGTGAGAGGGCAAAAGCGGATGCCGGGCGCTCTTCACCGGGTTGACTGTCCATTGGATGACAGTCTAGGGGAGATGGCTAAACCCTGATTCCAAACCTCCAACGACTGGCGTATGAAGCTCACCGGCAGACGTATGGACAAAGGGCTTATTGGATGCCCTGGATATCTGGCCCCATTCAAAAAGGTGTATGAACCGGACTCCGGTCACCGGCGGCCAATGGGTAGTGGAGTCCCTACTCCATTCCCACTGCCTTGTAGGTCACACTTGGTTGTGTAAAGGCTAGAGCTGCACTCTCAAACAAAAGGCCAAGCGATTCTGGGGACATCACTCGTACCTGATTCCCATGAAACTTCATGAACTCTCTACAACATCAACCAAATTCCAGTACTGGTCTAACAACATCGCCATCGGTGGTTTGGCCATGTTCTGCGCCGACCAGATGACGATCTGGTCAAATCAGTTCTAAATCCCTCGCCATTTCCATCTTAGCTATGTCGCAGGGATAGACGGCTGAAAACATGGCTTGGTACAGTCAAGGCTGATATGGAATGTCTGGGGCTACAAACCGTCTGTGGACTCCGTCTGTGGAACAAGAATTGGATAACCCTGTCGCAAAACCTTGCATCAGATCGCCGCGCCGGGGGGCAGCGATGATTCAAGATATTCATGAAGCCGGCTCATCCTCCCGTAGGAGATAGCCGAAGTAAAGTAAAGTAAGTCTGCCCACATGCTTTCATCTCCTCTTCACATCACCTCCTCCAAGTCATCCTTGCACTGAAGACCAATTCGCCGCTTCCCTTCCGGGTTCCACTCGCGTGATGGCTTGTCTAGTGATGTCACTTGGTGGCTTGTTTTCTCAGAGTATGGCCAGCCAATCCACCTCCATTTCTTCCTGCTTATTTGTTGCACAATCGGTTCCTGGTTGGTTCGGTCATTGCCAGAGACCCTTGTTGCTGATCTTTCCTAGCTGGCCATCTGATCTTGAGCAAAGTGCTGAGCGAAGACAGCTGTTGATGAAGGCCTGTAGTTTGTTTGATGGGCTCATTATGACGCGCCAAGTCTCTGATCCGTATAGTAAGTAGCACTGACTGACTTCACATTGGAGTTTAAAATCCGGATCTTATTTTTGATGCTGAGTGCTGTTGACCTCCTACACACAGACTTGAGAGTAATGAAACCCTGCCTTGCTTTTCCGATCCTTGCTCTGATATCCTCGTCAGTTCCTCTGGCCTGTAGTTGAAACGATGCTTCCCAGGTAGGTAAAAGAGGTTGTTTCTTTCAGGTTCCTCCCATTTATCCTTTCTGATTAATGTCTGTTGTTGTTGTTTCTGTTGCCACTGTTGGTCAGGAATCCTCATCACCTCTGTTTTTCTATGTTTCTTGGAGTCCTATCTTTGATGCTTCTTCTGCCAACTTGTTGCTTATCACTTGCATACCTTCTAGTTTGTGGGAAATCAGATGTACGTCATCGGCGTAGTCCAGATCCTCCAAGTTATTTTGTGTGGGTCCATTTTATGTCTGTTTCCTCATTGCCCGTTGTCTGTCGCATTATCCAATCTACTGCAATCACGAAAGTCATTGGCGATAGTAGACAGCCTTGCCTTACTCTCGTCTTCACTTTGGGGGATTCCGTAAGCTTCCCATTGTGGATTATTCGGCATGCAGCATTGTCGTACAACTGCTGGATGAGATGTATAATTTTCGGCGGTTGGGTTGCTAGCCCCCATTATTATTATTAGAACAAGACACACGTAAGCGAACAATATTGTTGTTTTCAATTAGATCTTCTGTTAAAGTTAAACTTTAAGCACCACTAACTAACTACCAATCAGCAGCGAACAACCTTCGACGAACCAATCACATGCAAGAGTGATTTTTGATTAAGGGAAGCGTATATTTATGAAAAAATAAACAACAACATAAAAACTGCATAACACTGTTACATCTGGTATCTTTCTCTAACATGTGACAGAAACACCTTCCAGTTTAGCATAGGAGTGTCAATAGAAAAGTTACACCACATTCTATATGTATATTCATCTAAATGACTATAAATGACATCCTTTTGAGACCCGTTTATAGCCCTTATCGTAATTTTTAATCTTCCTTCTATAGAATTCGTGTGCGTCCCTGTAATGGAATCCACAAAATCACTAGAATGGTTCACTCTCTGATAAATGTATCCTGTCTGTCTGTTTGTTTTCGACATAGAAGTTTGCACAAATGTGCGGCAGTTCAAGTCGCCACACTCCACTCTTTGTAGCACACAAACCAAGAGAAGAAAGAAGAAGAGATAGTAAACAGAGGTATGAGACGAAGGAACGAAGAACAATATAGTTTGTTTCATTGGAAATTATAAGTCACAAGGAGTGGATGCATCTGCGCCAACCATTGAGAACGATCACTTTGAGCCATATCACCAACTATTTCCAACCATTGGTTTTTACCGTCCCGAGGACCCCAACCAGGAAGTCTACATCCTCCTACATGGCTTAAACTAACTGTTATGGATTTCATTGACTGGTGACACGTTTTGGTTTGACCGCCGCTAGCTCTTGAGCTCTTCTCCAGCCTGACCCAATGTCAGCTAACACTGCCCACTGTCGAGGAAGGCGACGACTAGGCATACGTGCGTAACACATGTCCTAACCATCTTAGTCGATGTAATTTCACAGCCTCGTCGATTGATTTCCCCTCCCACCTACCTAGCACTCCACCGATGACAAATCTCAGTACTGCTCACCTTATTATACCACTTCACACGGGAGATAGAACGCAGGCACCTATGATCGAAGACAGCTAGCCAGCCAACCTTTCCATGTCTTCCACTCTCAATGGCCAGGTTTCACAGCCAGCCATAAAGGAGGACAGAGCTGACTGATGAGCAGTACACCCGCCCTTTGGTCGATAGCCAGCCGGATATCACGTCTACGCCAGAGACGGCGTAAACTGGCATATGCGAAACTAGCCCTCTGTATCCGTTCTCAGCTAAGATTTCGTCAGAGATCAACCCGATGAATGTATCCAAGGTATGACAGCGAGTTATAACCTTTCCATTCGTCGGTATGCACGATCCCTGTTTCACCGGTCGAGTGACCACAGGTACTAAGGTGGTCGACTTTTTGTCCGCTATTCTCTCTATGAATCCTTTCTGCAGGAAGGTGTCATATAAACCGATCACCCAAACGTTGTTGGCTCGCTCAAGACCACGGGTGTGCTTTTCCTTCAATAAGACAGTTTTGTCCAAGTGTAGGATGACATTATAATCCAGGAAACTCCGTCCTGTAGCCAGTAGTCACTAGCGAGCATCAGAGAGGTTTTCAAGAGTTGGTTTGTAAGGAATAGATTTGTTTTTCACGAGTTTGACCATTGATTGTTATCAGTTAGAGAACCATTGAAAACAATCCAGGGAGTACTGGATAGCCAGTTGTTTCATCAGTCTAGTTTGGGAATCATCGGCAGTACGCACCTACTGGGGTTATGCTCGAAACGTCATCTAGTTGTTAATACTACATCACTGTGTGATTATTGAAATGAACTTATCTAATATGGCGGGTTACAAAGAATATTTCCAACAGCCTGTGGCAGACCTTTATCAACCAACAACTGTCTTCGCTCTCTACTGAAGATCAGATGGCCGGGCCGGAAAGAATCACCAACTATGGGAAACTATAGGAACAAACAAACAAACAAAACAAGAACCAACCAATCGCCAACCAACAAATATACAGGAGAAAGTGGATGGGGATGGATTGGACACTCGCTCGCTGAGGAGGCATTGGGCTGGGTGACATAGCGCGCGCGTCAGGCCATTGGTCGAGTGGAACCAGGCCGAAAGAGAAGCGGCGAGTGGGACGTCAGTGCAAGGGTGATATGGAGGAGATCGTGTGAAGAGGAGGAGGAGGAGGAGGAGGAGGAGGAGGAGGAGTTGAAACAGTATGGAGTAACATGGATTCAGGTGAAAAGTACAGCAGAAGGAAGACAGAAGTGGCAAGTGGAGACGTGTAGTTGAAGCCCTATGTTCCACTAGGAACCCAAGGGGACAATAATAATATATCTAATATGGAATTAAAATTCTACCACACTGCCCAAGTTTTACACTTACATCAATCTCCTATTGATTTGTTAGTTAGAATTTAGTTTCTAGTTTTGATGTTGATCGGATTCGGCTCTTGGGTTTGTTTGTTTTGGCGCTATTTTGTCCTTGTTTTTCCCCATGATTATTGTTCGTTAAATTTACTTTCCACCCCCCTTAACCCTTTTATTTTCACAGTTAAAATAGCTGGTAAACTACTTGGTATACGGGAAGGTGATGCATTGGATCATTTTCCCCAACAATTTTTAACACGTCTTGTTCAAGCTGGTGGTTCTACATCGTCAACATCATCACAACGATCTAGGCGGATGACAACGTATAGATGTGCTTGTACAGTGACACAAGCACGTGAACAACATAATTGTTTCATTAAAGCTTTATACAGCAGGTTAGTTCTATTGATTGATTGACTGTTTATTGAAACTTTTGAATTTCATGATATTGTATCACTTTTGCTTGACGGAAAGCTTGTATCTGTACTTAACCATATTGTCTTAATGGTGTTAATAACGTCATCTTGGGTGTCTGAAGCAATGCGGATTTTCAGAAACTTCGTACATTTATTCCCCTTTATGAATTTGAATAAAGCAAGAACAACAGTGTGATTTGTGCAACATAAGAAGATGGTACCATCATTGTTTATTTCGTTGGCTTTTCATCAGCTCAGCTGGTTACAGCCTAAATAAATTATTATTGAGTTCATGTACAGAGAAGTTTTAACATATTTACGAATGTGGTGACATGATGTCAGTTAACAGCAGGTTCCGGGATCAGTGAACAGTGCTCAGAAAATTACGCTTATATAGTTTTTTACACGGGGGGTTCAAGTTTAAACCGTACGCATATCTTCGGCAGGTCACCAAGGTGAACAGCCCCTCTGTCAGTTGAACAATATAGGTAAGGGAATTCGGCAAATCGGGCCAAGTCAGACTGACCGAGATCAGATACGCGTCGGTCCAGTGGCAGGCTAGTTTCTTCGCTTCTTTGTGTGCTTCGATGCTGATTGTTGTGGAGTTACTGAACTCTGGCCGTGATTGATCGTGGACGGTTTCAGCTGTTCGTATTGTATGACTGGCAGCCTGCGTGGGCTTGCTGTGTGTTGTGTAAAGCGGCTATGCTTCCATTGTTTGGCGCGCGACTGTTAACTCAGAACTGGCACGGACCAGGAATACGGCTTTCCAATTATTATCTAAGCATTGTAGCGGGATTCTCTTTCCAGCTAGGCTGGGATGAGTATGCCACGTGGCGCCGGATAACTCCAATGACTCATCTCGCTACTACTGGCGGAATTCGGCTTGTTGTAGTGTAGTGTTGTAACTGAACCAATAAGTGTGTGCTCACTATTTAGAAGACGACCCGGGAAACTGGTAGGTGACGATGGCTGACTTGTGAAAGGTGGAAAAGCACAAAGTGTTAGTAGCCAAATGCCTCATCATTTAATTAGTGACGTGCATGAATGGATTAACGACATTCCCACTATCCCTATCTGCTGTCTTTGATCATAGGTGCCTGCGTTCTATTTCCCGTGTAAAGTGGCATAATAAGGTGAGCAACATGGAGGTTAGGCGTAGAGTTCTAGGTAAACAGGGGAAATCAATCGACGAAGTCGTGAAGTTACAAAGACTGCGATGGTTAGGACATGTGTTACGTATGCCAAGCCATCGCCTCCCTCGACGAGCGATGTTAGCGGATATAGGGTCAGGCTGGAAAAAAGCTAGCGGCAGTCAAACAAAAACTTGGCCTCACCAGTCAATGAAATCCACAACAGTTGGTCTAAGCCACGTAGAAAGGTGTAGACTTCCAGGCTGGAGTCCTCGGGACGGTAAAAATCTATGGTTGGAAACAATTGGTGACATGGCTCAAAATCGTTCTCAGTGGCTAGCGCAGATGCATCCACTCCTTGTGACTTATGATCTCCAATGAAACTGTTTTGTTTTTCTTTATTACTCCTTTGTCTCACACCTCTGCTCACTGTTTCTATTATGCTTTTCTTGTACTTTCTTGTCTTGCTTCGCGTGCTACACGGAATGTGGCGACTTGAACTTCCGCACATTTGTGCAAAGTTCTATGTCGAAAACAGACAGACAGACTATCCGTATCTATACTGTCTAGCGAAACCACGCCCAAGGTAACGGGCTTGGTAGAATTAGCGAGGAAAGAAGACCCTGTCGGGCTTGACTCTAGTCCGACTTTGTGAGGAAACATGATGGAGTTAGAGTTGGTGGGGGGTCGGTGCTGCTTCAGTAGTACCTGGCATCAATGAAATACCATTGCTGTCATTCTTTCTTTACTTATTCAGTGAAACGCAGGAACGAAATGGTATTTTGGTGTAAGGCACATGCTGGCATACGTGGTCTAACGCTGCGTGTGTCGGTGTTTCATGGTGATATCAGATAAATCGTGGTGCGTGCAGATGTTTGCGATGTTTGAGTCTTGATGTGATTCGCGACCCGTTCTGAAGATCATGTCAGCGGGAGAGTTTGACTGGGGTGCAGTACATCTGTTGAATTTGTAACGCTGAAGTGTCCTATGCCTAATCATTAAAATTTATGCAATTTTATTCAAAACAAGTGTGAATTCTTCAGCACTATCCATTTGTTACATTTGCTTAAAAATGAATGTAAACCTGCTCTTGACCATTATTAGGAGAATAAGTCTTGCTTGTTCGCTCATTCGTTCGCTCACTACAAAACACAAAATACTTTATAAATCAAATTCACAATTTACAAACTAGTTAGCTACTTGTGACGTACACACTTAGAACTATTAAGAAGACAATTGCAGCGAAGAAAATTTTCTTTTCGACGAAGTCATCATCTAGGCTGTACATTCGTGTATTTATATCAGATGGATGGGAAAGTTCCAGAATAATTTCCGGTTAAGGGTCAAATTAATTTTTCATACCCGAACTTCGTGTTTGTTTTGTCATTTTACTATTTCTACATATTTAATCCCTGATTGCGTAAACAATTATTCATCACATTAGTTTTTTTTATCCAAACATCCTGTCTATTGTTGTTATTTCTACTTTTCTAACCCCTAATTGCACAATGTCAGTCTTCTTAGTTATTATGATGCTACTTTGTTTGAGTTTTATCCGTCCCCCCCTGTTTATTATGGCATTCTAACTCCTAATTTTAATTTTTATTAATTCGACGCTTGACCGGAAATTATTCTGGAACTTTCCCACCAATTTATTATAAATAAACGAATGTACAGCCTAGATGATGACTTCGTCGAAAAGAAAATTTTCTTCGCTGCAATTGTCTTCTTAATAACAGTTAGAGCTTTGAAATTTCACCGTAGTTTCTTTTGGATAGCGTACAAATAAAAATATACAGTCTACTTGACATCATAAATTGCAAATTGTGAATTCAACTTTGTGGTATAACCCCCAGTAGTTCGCCCAATTAGACTGCTAGCGAGAAATCAGGTGGTTTAAACACTGATTTGGCTCCTTCTCTCTGAACTGAGTCAAATCGAGTACACCGCTCTGACTGATTGACTGGTGAGCTTGACCTCAAATGAGCGAAACAGCCATCAAACGGTGTTTAGATCACCTGGATCTGGCTAGCTGATTAGCAACTACTACTACTGATTGGTACTGCTACTTATTTTAGTCAGTCAGTAGTATATAGTTTTACACAAAATATTTCATTTCAGTATAATGCCTTATCAATACACCCTTTCTTTTATAAAATAATTTCTTTTAGTTTGTTTCACTTTATGGTCGATTCAATTAATAAACAATTGAATTCTGAGGATCCTGATGGTCCACTTAATGAACTGGGTATGTGCTTTTTGTTTGATACCTTTATATATTATTGATTAATTCATTAAATATGGACGAATTGTTGCTGAAATTCAACAACATCCACCCTTCGCTTACTTTTGCTTGTGAAAAGGAGCAGGAGAATAAACTGCATTTTCTGGATGTCTTACTAAGTAGGAGAGAAGATGGGTCACTTGGGAGAAGCATGTATAGAAAAAGCACATTCACAGGGAATACACACACTTCCTTAGTTACGTGACCATTAAATATAAAAGGAATGTTGTAAAATGTCTCGCGAGCAGAGCAAGAAAGATATGTACGGATGACCACTTACAAAAGGAATTTGAATATATTCATTATTCTTTCTTGACGGAGATGGGCTGGCTATCCGAGTAGTTTTACAAAGAAACATATGAAAACCTGAGACTATGATTGCACTTAAAAAAGATTTCTATTTATTGAGTTACAATTTGATGGTGACTTGTCAAGTGAGATTTTGTTCCAGAGATTTTCCAGGAATGTATACGAAAAACGTTTTACGCAGCACACCTATGTTTGTCATTCTCTAGCTGACGAATGATTGGGACTCAAATGAAGGATAAGTTATGTAGTTTTGCCACATCTATGTGTATTTATCAATTCAATTGCACCTGCGGTTACAGTTATGTTGGGCACACTACTACTAGACAGCTTAGCCAATGTATTAGTGAACATCTCCCATCATGGTTTGGCAAAGAACAGACAAAACAATCCGTAGCTCAATTTTGTCACATTTAATTATTGATAGTGATCATGTAGTGGAGAAAACGAGAGCCTTTAAAGTAATTCATCGTATCCCACTGAATCTTTCCAATAGACTTCGTACTCGTCTACTGCACACAGCTGAGGCATTCGAACTATTAAAACTAAACTATGTAATCAAAAGAAGTCCGTAAAGCCATTATCCCACCCTTGTTGGCCTATAAGGACATAACTGATATGTATCCACATATATATATATTTATGTGTGTGTGTGCATGTTGGTCTCTCTTTCTGTTTGCTCGGTTAGTCTGTGACCACTTCACTTGTATGAACTTGTCTCCTTTAATAATGTGTATTCTCCTTATATTATATTATATATAATATGAGTGTTTGTTGACAGTCCGTTGCTTGGTGACATATATCCATATATGTTTGTTGGCATGTCTGCTATATTCGCTATGTATAATTGGATCGACACTCCATTATAATTAGCCATTCATGTTAAGACTGTCTAATGATTTTTCCCACGCTTTGTCTGAATTATTTATATATATTCGCATTCACAATTTGTGTGAACTACTTTACTTTACAACTACTTTACTTGCTTACCACTTTGGTGTGAGACCATTTCATTTTCGTCTCCTTGTGTTTGGACAATAGAAGTATCATCGCAAACCTAGTGGTCTTCTGATTTCCGCCTTCTTGCGTCAGGACTATTAGTCTCTCGACCAGTCCATAACAATAATTCAGCGACGAGTACATAACAATAACCAACTCATGACTTCTCCACCACCCCTTTCTTATAATCCCTTAATCTTATCACATCTTCATTAAAAAGGTGTCTCATTTACTTCCCTTACAATCTAGCATTACTTAATTGGTTCATTTGTTTTTACCAGCCTTTGTCGACTACTTGCACCCGAACATTTTTTTTGTTTAATCATGCTGTTTTTCCATTATTCGTGTTATCACAGATTGCCTCACTTTTTCATCCTTATTGTTGATAAGACCATTATTATTATTATTATTATTATTATTATGGCTAATTGCACAATTTAATTCATATAAATCAACTCAACTTAGTTACCTTAAATAGAATTTCTCATATACACCAGGCTATAAGAGCCACACTTATGTCGCGTGTGTGTGTGGGGGGGGTGATAGGCGGCAATATTACCTATCAGCTGAAAACCGAGTCCCTAAGCCTGATGAGTAGTCGGAAATCATATCCACATTAATTAGTGTGTAGTGATTAACTGACCCAATCAAAGTGACCTTGTCTATGCACTAGTATTGGTTGATGTGATAGTGGTTAACAACTACTTATATCAATGAATTAATGAGTAGTATGTGCCACCAGGCTAATTAAGGTGAAAAAAACAACAACTAGAATATTCTTGAAAGAAAATATTTAAAAATATTATATTGCTAACAGCATACTTTAAATGTCTCATAGACTTCGGTGTTAGGTTGAAGTTATTGTTTTATTTCATTTGCTAGATTTCGTCACAGCTGTTTGTTTCCAATCTGTTACTGTTCAGCATTGCCCACGCATGACTCATGACGAGGATGGAACTCAGTACTTTCACATTATGAGACACCAAGCTGGTCGATCATTGGGCTGTAATTTAATGAACCCTTGAATTCTATATTTGTCAACTCATAATATAGTGCTACCGTCACTGAATACATTCGATGAGTACCCACTTCATCTTATTGACAGGGTAGACCTCAATGGTCATCACTTCTCATCACTACAGCTTCAGGACACCCATCTGGTAGCGATCAGTGAGCATCCACTCCTTGAAACTTATAATACCCAATAAAACTATATTGTTCTTCGATATTACTATTCCATTTTTCCTGATATCTCTGTTTACTGTCTCTTTATTTTGAATTTCTCTCTACTTTCTTCTCTTGTTTTGTGTGGTAAATGGAGGGGGAGTGGAGGCTCGAACTGCTGTACATCGGTGCAAAGTTCTATGTTGAAACCAGTCAGTCAGTGTATACATTTATATATCCATATAAATCCCATAATATATATATATATATATATATATATATATATATATATATATATATATAATGGGATTTGTAGGTGATTGAATTCCAGCCCAAGTGGTCGCTGAATGGTCAACGAGTTGTGGGCGTACACCGCCGAAGTATATCCCGAAATAAGAGGAAACAACTGTCCAGTACTCCCTGGTGATTTTGTCTGATCTTTCTAACCGATGACGCCGATTCGTGACGAAATCTAACCATTGATTGAAATTGATTTAATTGATTCAAATCTCATAATTTAAAGTTATTATTATCATTATACAATTGGTGGATGGTGGCTAGCAGTGGAATCCAGGATGCGCATTTCGTCCTATTTGGGACTCGTCAGCTGAATGTACCTGCATTTCTCAGTGAGTGATGACGTTCCCACCGAGGCTCGAACCCAGTACCCATAGCTTCAAACGCCAAAGCGTTATCCACTAGACCACTTGGGCCACGAGAGCCACCTGTTGTGCAACGGGTCATATTAATTATTGTATTGAATTTTTGATTTTCCCGTCGATTGATTGGACCAATTGTATACTAATTAAATACCCAGACATCGTCGAAGCATCTGCACAAGAAGCCGACATGTCAACCTGAGACCGAGCACTTCGGTCCAATCAGTCGACGGGAAAATCAAAAATTCAATTCAATTATTATTATCATTATTATTCCCCAGAGCCCTGAGTAGAATATTGGCCTTCAGCAGAGCATAAGTTGAACTTAGGGTTAGGAATTCCTGGTTTGAGTTGAGTTGAGTTTAAGGTTCTTGTTTGAATGATTTTGCTCTCTAATTGGTTTGCTTTCTGGTCGGGACATAGGGCTTTAAGCTGTCGAAGATTCAGTAGGCGTGTTACTAGCCTCATATCCAACCTTCTTCCTTTTTCGAGTTTATTACTCACTAGTAAACCCATTAGTTCGGGACTCTTCACAGTACGCACCCACCGCCAGGGTACGAACACAGGACCTTCTGGTTACAAGGTTAGCGAGTTAGCTCGTTGATCATTAGGCCACTGGGACCTGATGCAATGGCTAGGGTGTGATTCCTAACTTCTGACAATTCACGACATAGCACGACCGCTAGCCAATGTCATCGCTGGTGAGTATTTGTCCTCACGCCTGAGGTGCTGCACCCTACTGGTCACGACTTCCCACTAGAACCTATCTCTGAATAGGGCCAGTCGCTAGTCAGCATCTCATTGATTTTCAAGTGTTGGTTTGTAGGGATTTGATTGATTGGTTTTAGGATTTCATCATGAGCTGACATCGGCTAGATAACCATTTCATTGTTTTGTAATAAACTCAAGTTATCTGTGTAGTGGATTCATATTGAAATTGACCGGTTCAGGATGATTTACATGGTGCTTTTTTTCTACATATTGCCTGGGTGATTCAGCGTTAGATTGATTGCTGGCTGGTTGACTGCTTTCGATCATAGATGTCTGCGATCTCTGTCTCACATTAGGTGGTTTAATAAGGTAAGTAATGTTGACGTTAGGCGTAGAGTGTTGGGCAAAGAGGGAAAATCAATCGACAAGGCTATAAAGTTACATAGACTAAGATGGCTAGGTCACGTGCTGCGCATGCCTAACCACCGCCTCCCCCGACGGGCATTGCTAGCTGATATAGGTGAAGGTTGGAAAAGAGTAAGTGGTGGCCAAACAAAAACATGGCATCAATCCATGAAATCCTTGACAGTTAAACTGAGTCAGGTAGGGAGATGCAGACTCCCGGGTTGGGGCCCTCGGGACTCTAGGAATCAATGGCTGGAGACAGTAGGTGACATGGCTCAAAATCGTTGTCAATGGCCAGCGCAGATGTATTCAGTCTCTGTAATCTTTCATATTCCTTTCTACCATTACCCATTCTGTTTCACTCTTATACTTGTCAGATTGTATTGATTCTCTTCAATCATCTTCTTGTCTACCTCTGTGTGCTATTTGGAACGTGGCAACTCGAACTGGTGCACTTCGGTGCCAAGTTCTATGTTGAATCCAGACAGACAGATTGCTGGCCAACCACTCATATGGTCTGTGGTTTGGTCCTCAGCCGAGGTACCCATGTAAGTTCGGCAAAAAGAGGAGGGTTTTGGTGTGAGGCTAACAACCCCACTCCATGACAAAAAAGAATCACACTATTGCTACTGAAAATTCATAGTCCAAAGCTTGAAGCCCTATGTTCCACTCGGAGCACAAAGGAATAAAGATTCAGATTTATTGATTGAGGATGGAAGGTTTGGTGTCTATGTCAATCATTTTCTAGTAAATTCCTGTGCTTGTCCAAACCCTTCTTGAATGAATCAGTTGAAGTTTCAGACACCACCACTTCTTCTGAGAGTCGGTTCCAAGAGTTTATGGCTCGGTACTCAACAGCAATATGGTTTCTTTGTTGACTTTTGAACTGTCCTTCTATATCCTCTAAGGTGCTCCGATCTGGTGGGAAGGAAAAGAGAGAATAGGTCAGGCCCGTAGTAATAACTTAAAATTTGAAACATTGTAATTAAATCTCCTCTCTGCCTATGGTATGTCAGGGAGAAGAGATTTAAACTGTCTAGTCTATCCTCGTATGATAAATTAGTCATGCTGAGAACCATACTTGTTGTCTTCCTTTGGACCCTTTCTAGAATATATGAGTCCCTTTTAAGATAAGGAATGGTTGCTTGGATACAGTTTTCCAGGCACATACACACATACACACACTTTGTGCTAATTGAATAAGACTGATTAACAGAGTTTATCTTAGGGGAAATCATGTTGCTTTTTTTAGTGAAGATTTGGTGTTAAATTTATTATTAAACAATTCAGTGTAATCGATATTTGCAATTAATGAAATGTATCCGCGGTGAGCAAGGTCGTCTACCAATGGATTAAACTTTTTTCCTCAACATTAGTATACCATCATAGCGGTGTATCATTTAGCCACCAACTATCATTGACTCCTTCACGTTCGCAGTGGAACATCATAGGGCCTCAAGTGAGTGGCTTGAAGTTTCTGTAGCAGTGGTGGTTATTTTTACAGGATGGGGTTGCTAGCCTCATGCCCAACCTTTCCTCTTTACCAGGATTATTTCTTGCTTAGCGAGGGGGGTAAAGGAGGGCGTCTGTGGCCGGGGATCGAACCCCGGGCCATGTGGATGGTCGGCGAGCGTCCTAACCGCTGTACCACCGACGCACAACCAACTATCAGGCTTATTAAAATTAATCAAAAGTGCTACCTTTATAATTTGTTCATGTTTGTTATTTCCTGAACCGCATATCAGCTCTGTAAGAAATTATAGTTGTAAAATCTCAGCGAGATTGAAATGAGTAATTCCAACGTTCCCGGCGTTCGGCAATCTGGTCCGAACTTCTTCAGGGAAATTAATCGAAATTAACATAACAGAGGTTTATATATAAAAGGAACATCTCTTGTTTTTAAAAACTTTGTCCAATCATGAGTCATAAAACAAGTATTAACAAGTATAATAAACAAAACTGTATGAACTGTGATCAAAATTTGACCTCGGACTTACAAATATTGATCTACCTTTGGTAAACACTTTAAAAAGTCTGTTTGTATGTGTGCGGATAAACAGTTGTAAAACAATGTCGTAACGTCTCCATAAGTAGATATAGACAGTCGGGAATTTTGACCAAGTATTATTAGTTAGTGATACATATCCATTCTTATTTATTAATCGGGATTTCCTATGCGTCAGCTAACATCACACCTTCATGTCTGTTCTAATCCTAAACACCATAATTTTGAAAATATGTCTAATCATAAGATTCTAGATACTCGTTTTATGGCTCATGATTGGACAAAGTTTTTAAAAAATCAAGAGATGTTCCTTTTCTGCATATAAACCTCTGTTATGTTAATTTCGATTAATTTCCCTGAAGAAGTTCGGACCAGATTGGCGAACGCCGGGAACGTTGGAATTACTCATTTCAATATCGCTGAGATTTTACAAATATAATTTTTTTTTACAAATGTCTACCTCTCACTCGGTGCCCAAATATTTTAGAACTATTCTGTCAAATCTTGACGACAGTTCATTTGAACGCATATCAACTCCTTAAATATAGAGATGCCTCGATAGAACCAGCATTTCGTTCTATTCAGGGTTCATTAATTCAATGAACTTGCTTCACATTGAGTGATGATGATGATGATGATGGTTCTCCTAATGAGACTCAGATCATGTTGTAACTCTGTTGCCAATTTGTTATAACTGAATTGATCTGAATAGATCCGTTGCAACTTTGTTATATATGCGCCTATTAATTACTATAAGATGATAAGATAAGCTTTATTCCAAATCAGTACTTGTGATACAGAATGGAATTCTCAGCATTTTACTACAATATTGCATCCAGTTGTTACATTAACAATAAATAAAGTTCTACATAGATTATGGGTAGTCTCAGTCAGTTTTGACAACAACATATTAGGATGTCGGTAGCAAAGCCAAAATTGAACAGAGTGTTTGAAGGTGTTAGAAAAGTAGATACTGCTAGCATATTTACTGGCGTAAGCGATAGCAAAATGGTCGAGATATACAGAGTGTGAAAGAACGAACAAGAATGTTTTAAGTAGAGTTTGCAAGGAAGAGAGAAACAAAACAGCACATAACAAAAAATAAATACAGAATGAAGAGCGAGAAAACGTTGTATCTATAAATGATGTGAGTTGGAAAGACGAGATCTATTGGTTCTACTGTCTATTTAATAAGTTAAAGGTTTCATGCCTGATGCATTCTTTATCGCACAGAACACGGGCTAGGTAGGGTATGGATGAGTTTTTGTACTTGCTAGTGCAGGCATATAGTTTCCTATATAGGCTTCTTGTTTTCCCTGAAGAGATACATGGGGAGAGTTGTGAGTCAGATAAAATGGATTTCGCCCATTTTTCACATGAGTCCGAGTGCCTGTCCACCAGAATACTAACAAGCTGGCTAAGTGGCAAACTGCTTACCCTGCTGACAACCTTTAACATCCTACGTAATAAGGTATAGTCTTTCTTCAATAGCCCAGGAAAGACTAAGGGGGAACAATAGAGAATAATAGGCAGAATACGGGAGTTAACAAATTGTAGGAGTAAGGGTTGGGTTACACCAGAATGTCTTAACTTCTTGATGTAGAAGGTAAGACGGTATATTTTCTTGGAAATCGTCAAGATATGAGACGACCAGGAAAGATCAGAGGATAGAGTGACGCCTAGGTATTTAATTTCCGACTTGGTTTCTATTTCACTGCCATCTATGTTGCACACCTCGTGAGTGCTAACCAGTTTGTTTAGGTCAGATTTATGCCTAAGGGTGAAATTAACTGTTTGGCATTTGGAGGGGTTTAAGGTGAGACCGTTTTCCTTGGACCATTGGCTAATTTCTGATAAGAAGCCATTTAGTTTAGAGCAGTCACTTTGACATGGGCCTGCTACCAAAATATCTACTATAACGGTAATGAACTCGACTGGTACGCTAATACGTCTGTTTATTCGTTGTACCTTCCGATTCAATGAGCCATGCAAATATAAAAAGATAAAGGCTAGTCTTTGACTGTAAGATATTGTATTATATTGTATAGTTTAAGAAACAACACATGATATTTATACATTTTCTTTCCCGTAGTAATAAAGTTGGCTTACAACCGTGGGAATGTATTGTTCGTATTGGTTGGATGTGTCTATTCTCATTGGTTGGTGATTAGACAAAGACCAAAGTGAGAAAAAAGACGATGAATTAATCTGACACACTAAATCACAATATGCATGAGAAATGATACATTTACATAGTAACTCCATCACAAGATAAATCACACAATTCGTGAGAAAAGGCGATGTACACTACACTACTTTATGCTGGGTCCTATATCAAACCCCAGGTAGCTGTATAATCGCCTCAAACACCAAAACCTTATCCATTAGATCACTGGACTCAACTCCTCTAAATGGAGAAATGATCACGCATTGGAATGCAAGTACATCCAGGTGAAGAATCCGCAGTTTGGACGAAACATGCATTCTTTTCATCTATTGCTAATTGATATTGTTTTATTTTCATTCACTTGTAGGTATTCTTGATCTGTTTGGTTTCGAGTGTTTAACTGTGAATAGTTTTGAACAATATTGTATAAATTATGCTAATGAACGATTACATCAAACATTTATGCGATTAGCTGTTACAACTGCTTATGAAGAATTAGATGCAGAGGGATTATCTGATTATCCTCCGCCGCCACCGCCACCGCCATTGCCTCCTCCTCCTCCTCATGTGTCATCTTCCTCCTCTTCGTCTTCATCAACTTTATCTCGTCGTATTGTCCATGAAAATACTGTGGAGCATAAACATCGATTGGATTCTTCATTGGCACTGTGCGAGAGTAATATACTTACTTTAAAAGATATAGAAATGAATGCAAATTTATTAGAAGAGGTAAGTGTGTTTAAACTGTACAACATTTGTCTGTTTGGTCTGTTTAAGATTAAAATGTACATCGTGGTTGGCATTCAGTCTCAGAGTGGCGGGGGGGGGGCGGTGAATAATAGTTCCTTCCTCCTTGTATAAATCATGAAAATCATCTAGTTAACTTGCTGATCCTAAGATTGGAAAGGATGCAAGGTTAGGTTTTTTTGAGGCTAGTAACCTCATATCAGTTTGTTTATTAGATGTATCATACAGTCAGTGAAACAGTATCATTTACTGGATGACACAGTTTCGAAACAAATTTATTGTTGTTCATAATCATATTATCAATTATAATCACATAACTTCGAAACTTGAGTTTTATAGTTTTCTTTATTCTCTCCTATTTGTCGTCGTTGGGGTAGTAGAATTTTCGAGATATCTGGGTGGACAGATGTTGAATCATTCCTATTACATGTATTTGCAGTTGATTTGAAAAACCAAGCTTCTGCTATCAATCTCCCCCTCCACCCTGCTGGTACATTAGATTTTAAAACTATCACCTTGTCACACCCATCCTGTTGTATGGTTGTATGTAATTGCATGTAGTGAGTGCTATAGCTGAACTATTCTCTAGATTTCTTATCTACGTATCGGGTCAACCAATCTAGATTTTGCTAGGTTTATATGCTCGGCTAGTCTGACTCACTGAACCTATTCTACTAGTTTGACTTATGTATTTGACCTGACAACCATTGCAGGCAGGGTATTAGATAAACTAAACTGTTTTGTTTTTAAAGGCTCCATAGGATTGATCCTTTAACCGACAAAGCTTGTTTCTAATTGAGTTTGTGGGTGGTGTGAATGTCAGCCACTTTTATTCCTGCCTTGTGAAGAATTCTGTGTAAGACTTCCGAGGTTCCTTCCGAGTATGGAATTACTACTGATGATTTAGATTCCTTATTGTTGGTGTTGTCATTATCCTGTGCATGTTTGACCTTGAGTTTTCAAAACTCAAGTTTCATAGTTGTGTGATTACAATTGACATCATTATGAACAATAATGAATTGTTCGAAACTTTGTCATCCAGCAATAAGTAATACTGTTTCACTGACTGTGTGATACATCTAATAAACAAACTAATATGGAACTACTTACTACCACAGTGTCCAAGTTTTACACATATATTAATAAGACTACTTCAAACTTTTGTCAACAGCTGCCACCTTTGCTAGCTCCTGTTATGTACTCGTCGCCAAACTATTGTTATGTACTGGTCGAGAATTTAATAGTCCTGACGCAAGAAGGCGGAAATCAGAAGACCACTAGGTTTGCAATGATACTTCTATTTTCCAAACACAAGGAGAAGCAATAAGTGGTATCACACCAAAGTGGTAAGTCAGTCACACAAATTGTGAGAGCGAAATATATATGAATGTCCAGTCAAGTGTGTGAACAAATCAATAGACAGTCTTAACATGAATGGCTAATTATAATGAAGTATCGATCCATATATACATAGCGAAATATAGCAGACATGTCAACAACCAACATGGAACCAGTCAATCAAATCCACAACACTTAGTTTAAGCCAATTACGTAGGAAGGTGTAGACTTTCTGACTGGTTGCGGTTGGAAACAATTGGTGACATGGCTCAGACTCATCGTTCTCAATGACAGTGCACATGCATCCACTTCTTGTGACTTATGATTTCCAATGAAACTGTATTGTTCTTCGATGTTAGTATTCCCTTTGTCTCACACCTCTGTTTACTGTCTGTATTATGCATTTCTTCTACTTCCTTCTCTTGCTTTGTGTGCTACAAGGAGTGGAGTGTGGTGACTGGAACAGCCGCACATTGATGCAAAGTTCTATGTCGAAAACAGGCAGACAGACAGCGGTGGAATCCAGGGTGAGCATTTCTTCCCATTCGCGACTCGTCAGTTAGTGGGTTTATCTGAAGATCGCCGGTGAGTAATGGTGTTCTGAGTAATCTTTATTTCAAACTCTTAAATCATTTGGGTCAGGAATGCGTTTGAAATGAAAAGTGTTTGTTTCGAATTCCGGTGGGAGCACCATCACACAATCACTGGGGATTGAAAGGACACCCACTAGTCAAGGAGTCCCAAATAAGATGATGAAATGCACATCCTCGGTTCCACTGCCAGTCACTACTGTCCGAAATTAAAGGAACTAACTAATTGTCTTAAATATTTGAAAATAAGGCTCACATCATGCACTAATATGGTAATGATAACAAATGTTTTTTTATTTTGTATTCATAAGAACCTGAAGGTAATTTATTGAAAATAGTATTCGTTTCCCACATCATTCGCCTTGAGAATCATTGAAAAACAATCAGCTAAGGACAACTGTTTCACCTAAATTCAAAGTCGTTGGGATTGGAATCCAGCATTTCATGTGTGTGTGTGTGTGTGTGTGTGTGTGTGTGTGAGGACAGACGCACACTGATGCCGTTTGTTGGCTATGGCGCTACTTTACTAAATGGTGGGTAGTTTAGTCCCACGTTCTAGCCTCGTAACCTAAACGTCCTAAACTTTATCCCTTATGGAGTCGTGTCTTTCTGTCTGCCTGTCTGTCTGTTTTCGAAATAGAACTTTCCACCGATGTGCAGCACTTCAAGTCGCCACACTCCATGTAGCTCACAAAGCAAGAGAAGAAAGTAGAAGAAATGGATCATAGAGACAGTAAACAGAGGTAAGAGATAAAGGAATAGTAATAACGAAGAACAAAACAGTTTCATTAGAAATCATAAATCACAAGGAGTGGATGCATTTGCTCCAGCCATTGAGAACGATGAGTTTGAGCCATATCACCGCCAATTTTTTCCAGCCTTCATTGGTTTTTATCGAACCGAGGACCTCAACCAGGAAGTCTACACTTTCCTACGTGACTGGCTTCAACTAACTGTTGTAGATTTCATTGACTGATGAGGCCATGTTTTGATTTGACCACCACTAGCTCTTTTCCAGTCTGACCCTATGTGAGCTAACATTGTCCATCGAGGAAGGCGGTGGGTAGACTAGGCATACGTAACACATGTCCTAACCATTCCAGTCGATGCAACTGCTTTACAACCTTGTCGATTGATTTCCCCTCCCACCTTCCTAGCACTCGACCGAAGCCTAACGTCAGTATTGCTCACTTTATTATACCACTTCTCACGGGAGTCGTGGATGTGCATTACTGAAGAGTCTTAGATCAAGGCGAAACATACGTTCAGCAACCTCAAGTTTTCAATAATTCTTTAGCTGATTTACCGGTTCGTGAACATAATCTACATTCAAATTATTCCCTTAATTTTTTTGAAATTTCAATTTTTAGGTTTGTCTTCTAAATCGTGTTCATAGCGTGAATCCGTTGAAGTTATCATCATCATCATCATCATCTTCAAATCCTCCACTGAGTCATTTAGATCCACGTGAAATTGATTGGATCAATAAAATACAAACAGTCTTCAATGCGCCGAATTGTTCAATTCATCTATATGACAGTAGTGAGTCGATTCAATTTTCTACATTTAAATAAATGTTCATGTGAATATTGTGAGGATGGGTGATGGATGACTGAAGATGGATGAAGTGAAACTTGAATTCACGGTAGAATTTGAACTTAACCATTTCTGAATTTTTTTTTAGTTCCATTGATTAAGATGGTTAGGAGATGTGTTACGCATGCACGTCTGTCTATCCATCGCCTTCCTCGACTATGGGCAATCTTAGCTAACATAGGATCGATGAGGTTGGAAAAGACTCAGTGTGGTGGTCAAACCCAAAAACCAACGTGACTTTATCAGTCAATGAATAAATCCACAACAGTTATTTAAAGCCAGTCACGTGGAGAGATATAGACTGTCTGAGACTGGTTGGAGACCTCGAGACGGTAAAAACCAATGAAGGCTGGAGATAAGTGGTGGTGATCTGGCTCAAAGTCGTTGTTGACAATGGCTAGCGCAGATGCATCCACTCTTTGTGACCTTACCCCAATTGTTCTTCGTTATTACTATTCTTTTCACCGCATATCTCTCTTTTGCACTTCTTTTTACTTTCTTCTCTTGCTTTGTGTGATGACTCGAACTTCTACCCATCAATGAAAAAAGATAAACATATTCGGTCATTGTGTATTAGTGCTAAGGAAACACTACAATCGGCACCACCATTGTCGTCATCTCCTTATCTAATGATTTATATTTATTTTAACGCAGAAAAACAACTTGGTACAATATGGCGCCAAGAAAGATGCACCACACAATAATAATAATAATAATAATAATAATAATAATAAAACAACATAGATCAAAATTTAGAAAAAATATAAGTAGAGAACGGATAAAGAACTTCACCTGGAAGGAAAACAGTCATACTTAACAAGTTCAAATAGTATTCGTTAACTACCATCGAGAAGGGAAGAAAGAAGGAAATTGAAGCACGTTCGCCATTGACAATTGTGATTCTTAGCCATATCCGATAATGTTTCGAGCCATCTATTCAAGTTATCTCTTGAACTTCAACCAGGGAGACGCGAAGCACCAACCGATTCTATTCTAGTGCAAATATCCTTCATCCTACGACGCCACGTCATGAACTGACCACTTACCTCTCCGCCTTTTCTATCCCTCACGAGGGCTGGCTAGCTAACAGAGACCTGTACGAAAGCCTCTGGGATGACATTCACAGCATATGTTCAAGGCACCGAAGCCGGTGCTTCCAGATGACGACACTCAACGAATGGTGATCTTCATTGTGTCCAAACACACGCCACAGAACCTCGGAATTACTCACGCGATGATTCCATTGAACGCAATCAATCCTACGGAGACAGCGATGATTGAACACGCAGAGTCGCCGCACATCCTCAGCCTACTTGGAGAAGCCAGGTTCCATAGGCGTAAAGTAAAACAGCCCGTACCGAAGCATTGTATACCCGACCTTTGACAGACAGGCTAACGTTGCGACGGCGCCAGAGGTGACTCAAGTTAATGTATGCCACTCTAGCCTTCATTATACGGTTGGAAATCTCATTCGTCACTTCTCCACCAGAACTCACACAACTACCCAGGTACATAAACTTATTGACAACTTCAAACGGTTTACCTGCCAGAGTAAGTGCAGGTACAGCCTCCTGCCAATCTTGTAACAGAACTTTGCACTTAGACGGCGCAGAGTACATACAATACTTACAGACACTGATGATTAGATGAAATTCAACGTCCAATCTCTTCACTCTCTCATTCTTCATCATTGCTTAAAAGTTATTCCAAGTCTGATTGTCATCATTTTGTTTCTCTCTATGAAAACGTTATTACTACTATTGTTGTTCCCTTGGGTTCCAAGTGGTAAATAGGGCTAGCTTCAACAGCTTGTCTTCACGTTTTCTGATTCTCTACAGTCCTTTATAAGCTGGCCACACGATCACCCATAGTCTCTCATAGTCTTCTCATAAATGATCTCCTCTATGTCACCCATGCACGCCTATACTCGTCGTTTTTCCATTTGAGTTCCATTCGAGTGATGACCTGCATTGAGAGTGCCATATCCATTCGATGGTCTCCTCAACGTGTGTCCAATCCATCTCCATTTTCTTCTGCATATTTTCAAAAGAATAGAGACTGAACAAAGAGTACTCTTCTTTTCGATAACCCCTTTCCATCATCAGGCTCTACAGTTATGTGTATACATTATAGTGAATGAATGAATTAGTGTTATGAACAACATTAATTTTGCTGTTTAAATAACATCGAATCAATAATAATACCAATAGATTACAGCTCAATAGCATCAACATAACAATAAACTGAATGTCAGATAGAGAAATTAGGAAAGATAATATTACAATGAATTCATGAATTTATAGTCTCTACTGAAGGCTGGCCAGGGCAGTAGTAGGGGCAGACTGGACTTTCTTCTTTTGAACACAGAGCACTGGTTGTTTGAGGTGAATTGCCTCAATAGCCTCTGCTGTTGGGAGCATGCGGTGCTTTGATGTTTTTGGAAGTTTATTTGGCACCCGGTAGATGATGATAGAGAAGGATTCTTCGATGCTGGCTGGCTTTGTGGGTGGTTTGCACCAGATGATCTAATGTCGAACTGTTAATGGTTTTCACTACACCTCTTTACTTAGCCATAGTGGGAGATGTTCTCGAGAGAGCACAAAAAATCCTAAATTTCCTAGAGCAACGGCCAATATAACTCGTTTCACTACAAGCGGCGCAGTTGAATTGGTGGTATATACAATTTGAATTGGCTAGCTAGTCTAGGTACTTCATCTTTCAGTCGAGGTAGCATCATCAGTCGTGTAGAGAATAAGATGTGTAGTTCGCCAGCAGCAAAAGTTCTTTGAACTGATTTTCTTAATTTCCTCGTAATTATCTCACTTGGTATATCACCCTTGAATTGTAGTCGTATGTATAAAGTGGCTTCTTGTTTACAGATAGTGAGTGGTCCTTTTCCGCTTTCTTTGTTGTGTGTTTCTTGATAAATTTTCCGGGATAGCCATTTTCGATCAAAGTATCTTATACAATGCTTAATTCATCTTCAATTACTTCTTCTGAGCATATAGCTCTAACTCTGTGGCTGAGGGTCTTCACTAAATTTCTTTTGTACTTGATAGGAACGAAGCTGTGAAAAGGTGTATATTGTCCTGTTCAAGTGCTTTTTCTATGCAAATTTCTGTGTATGCTACCATCTTATTTTCTTGCAAGGAGGACATCCAGGAAGGCAATTCTGTCTTGGGATTCCTTTTCACATGTGAATTTCGTAGGCGAATGTCCTTCATTGAATTCAGTAATTATTGTACTCTTATCAGAACCATTATCACAAAGAATAAAGGTATTATCCACATATCGGCAATAAAATGAGAGCTTACAGATAAGATTGTGCAGAGGTCCATTTTTGAGGTTACTTAGAAAGAGATCAGCCAGAATGGGATCCAATGAGAGGAGCTCATCGCCACCCCGTCCACTTGCCTGTAAAGCGTGCCGTCAAATTTAAAGTTTACATTCATGGTACATCTTAATAACAATTCTTTTAGGATTTCAGTTCGGATGCCAATGTTTTTCGACTGCTTATCCACTTGTTCACATATGTAATTAACTGTTTCTACTAGAGATACATTTGTGAATAAAGATGTTATGTCCAGAGATATCGCGGTTTTGTCCTTGATATTAATATCTTTGATTTTGTCTACGAATTCAAATACATCTTTGACGCTATATTTCACTATCTTCTCATGCAAAGGTTTGATAATATTTACAGACCATCTAGCTAGGGCATATCAAGTATTGGTCTTAACGGTACCCCCGGTTTAGACACTTTAGGTAGGCGATACAATCTTGGCGTATATGTGCCCGTTGGTCTAATTTCTTCATATAATATTTCAGAAAATATCCTCTCCTCTCTTAGTTTCTTCAAACGTCTGGTTAATTCATTCTTTATTTTGTTATTGAAATCTTTCTTTTCCTCAAGTTTTTAAAACTTCTGTATGTCCTTCAATATATCATTTATCTTGTTTTTTTAATATAGTCACTTCTATCAAGGAGGAGTACTCCTGATCCTTTATCCGGCTTTGTGATTATCAATCTCCCATCATTTATCTGACTGTTTGGTAATCTGACTAAGACCAAGATAAGATGATCTTCATTTGATCTTCAATATAGCGCCAGCGAAGACAGCAGTTGATAAAAGAGTCTGAAACTGGCTGTTGGAAATGCTTTTTTCGTGACTTTGGTGGCATGTTTCTGACCCTCGTATAGAAGAACTGACTGACTGATTGACTTCACATTCGTGTTGAACATAATCCAAATCTTGTTGTTCTTTATGCTGAGGCTGAGTGCAGAAGATTTCCTAACTGGTTTGAAAGTGATGAAGGTGTACGTTGCCTCCCTCCCGACCGATAACTGCTACCTTGTCGTGGTGGTCGAGCTTGAATACCGTAATGACCCAACATGCTAAACTGATTGGGACTCTGTCCCTGCAGATCCTACCATGTGAGGAAGGTTGTTTGGATAGCGGTCAAACTAAAAGCAGTTACTATGGGGTACATGGGCTCCAGTATCCAATAGGATCAAATGGCGTATGAACCCATATGGTTCACCGGAAACCATGGGAATGCAGCTCCTGACGCTGCTCCGCTGTCTTGCGGGTTAGACTCCAAGTCAAAGGCTCGGGATGGGGTTGGTCCCTTAATAAAACCACCAGCTTCGGTTTGGACGCCCGGGCAGTATCTCAGCCCTCACACAATGAATTGAATGAAGCAACAAACTTATCGCGTGTAATTGCACGTGTTGCGATTTCCTTCTTTGTTCCCTTCCCGATGATAGTTAACGAATACTGTTTGAACTTGTTAGGTATGACTGTTTTCCTTCCAGGTGAAGTTCTTTATCCGTTCTCTACTTATATATTTTTTACTTTTGATCTATGTTGTTTTATTATTATTGTGTGGTGCATCTTTCTTGGTGCCATATTGTACCAAGTTTTTATGCGTTTAAATAAATAATAATAAATACGTTGCCTCCCTAATTGTGGCTTACACATCATCCTCATCCGTGCCGTCGACTCTTTTCAGCGATATCTCGCACAATCGCATACACTATTATTATTATTAATTTAATTTTCCTTTTCTTCTACTTTTTAGATAAATATATTCGATCACCATGCACTATTGCCAAGAAGACACTACAATCGATATCATCATCACCATCATTGTCGTCATCTCCTCGTCTGATCAAGCGAAATCCCACGTTGATCTCTTCCCCCTCACATTCTTCATCATTGCTTAAAAATTATCCAAAGGCTGATTGTGATCATTTCATTGTAAAACATTATGGTGGTCTGGTTAGCTATTCTATATCAGGTTTTGTAGCTAAAAATCTTGATCGTATACCGATTCATTTATTGACATGGGTAAAAGAAGAAGCCTTTCCTCTAAGTGCTTATGATTCCGAGAATCTTATCCAAGTGATTATCAATAGTGCAGTAGAGACAGCTAATCAAGGCATAAATTCATCGTCGATATCGACGCCTTTCAACTCTTCATCCTCAGCACCAATACCACCATTGTCATCATCATCATCATCTTCATTGCATTCAGAAAGTCCTGCAAAAGTTGTTAGATCACCGTTAAAACAAATTCATATTCATACAAATAATAATGGTAATAACAACAATAATAATAATATTTGTGCTCAAAACAGTTCAAACGTTATAATGCATAGTCCTTCTGGTAAAATTAACTGTGGTTTTATTCATGTTATTTATTTTTTTTCAAAAACGTCTTTAATTATTTCCCAAGTTTAACCATCACTGGAGTACTGAACAACTGTTTCGTCAGTCTAATTTGCGACTCACTCTAATTATGCACCCGCCAGGTTTCGAACGCTCAGGGGGGGGGCATCTCAGTTACAAGATAAGCGCTCATCGGCCAGTCCAACCAGTAGGACTTGACTTATTGGCTAGCCCCGTGAATTCTAACTTCTACCAATTCTTGATATTTAGGGCGACCACCACCAGGTGGGCGGTGGGCATACTGCTGATAATTCCCGAACTCGGCTGATGAAATAGTGTTGGCTGTCCAATACTCTCTGCTTGTTTCCATTGCTCTTCCTCTCACTGATATTAATCTGTGGTCGAATTTGGAAGACAAATCTAAATCTCTAGAATTAATTTATATGAACTGTGATCAAGATTTGACCGGATAGTTGCAAAATAATTGAGAGCCGAGTGAGAAGTAGACATTTATAAAATTATGTTATATATGATAGAATTAATATCAGTAAAAATTTGAGCATTGTGGAGGATTAGATCAAATAAAGTATAAAGTATATATAAAGTATAAAGTTCGAATCCCGGTGGGTGCGTACTGATGAAGAGTCCCAAACTAGGACGAATCAGCTGTCCAGTACGCTTAGGCTTTCCAGTGGTTCTCTAACCAATATCAGCTTATAATGAAATCCTGTAACCAATCAAATCCCTACAAACCAACACTTGAAAGTATAATTATATTTCAATGGTTTGGATACAATTATAAATTTTGTTACTGGTAATATTTCGAGGAAAATTACTACTGCCCGTGTTCACACTAACTGTTGGAATTGTTTTATTTACACACATTTATGATTTGTACTCATATATATATAAATAGTTCATTATTTTGGTTTTTGCTCATTCATGTTTTTGTATTCAGAATTATATTCCAAGTTGTTGATAGTTGTACTGAGTCACCTTTGTTACATGTATCTGGTGTGACTTTAATGAATTGGGGAATTGCCTATGTTAGACTGCAAATTACAATGAATGACAGATGGTAGCTGATATATATTCATATAATATGTGTGTTTTGTTTGACAGTCTGTTATATTTTACTATGTATACATGGATCGATATTCCATTATAATTAGCCAATCATGTTAAGACTGTCTATTGATTTGTTCATTTGGAATATTTGCTCACACACTTGTCCGGACATTCATATATATTTTTGCTCTCACACTCTTGTGTGACATTTTGGTTCTCCTGGTGTTTTGGAATATAGAAGCATCATCGCAAACCTAGTGGTCTTCTGATTTCCGTCTTTCTTGCGTCATGACTATTAAATTCTCGACCAGTACATAACAATAATTTGGCGACAAGTACATAATAGTAGCAAAAAAAACGACGATGTATAGAAAAAACTACACACTCTGGAAGATTCCTTGATTATCATCAGTCAGCTCATCCACTCATGGTAAAACGAGGATTAATACAAGGTCTTGCAGATAGAATACGTAGACGTCTTACAACAACACCAGAGGACCAGCATAAAGGAATAAATGTCCTATTCAAAATGCTACTCGAAAACAACTACCCTAAAGAATTTATAAAAGATAATATAAAAAAAGGAAAAAAGAGGGTGAAACCGGAGAATAACAAGGTGGAAGAATGCAAAAAAACAGTCACAATACCATGTAGAAATGGTACATCAAAGGCAATACAAAGAAACCTCAAAAATATCGGCATTCCAACAACGTTTTAACCGACGAATCTAATCAGAAATAAAATAAATCAACTGAAAGATCCCATAAAAATGATGGATAAAAACAATCTGATTTACAAAATATCTTGTGCTGACTGTCCGACTAAATATGTGGGGCAAACGTCCAGATCACTCAAAATAAGAGTGAATGAACATAAACGCCTGCCTAACTATAAAGGTCAACCAACAGGAACACAAGCTTACAAGAATCTTGAAAAAAAAATCATCGATATCTGGACATGAATGGGATAAAAACCACAATATTGATTGGAACAATGTGTGTATTCTAAAAACTAACATGAACAAATGGAAAGAAAGACTCATAACAGAATCGATATTCATTAGAGTCACACCAGATACATGTAACAAAGGTGACTCAGTACAACTATCAACAAACTGGAATATAATTCTGAATACAAAAAACATGAATGAGCAAAAACCAAAATAATGAACTATTTATATATATATGAGTACAAATCATAAATGTGTGTAAATAAAACAATTCCAACAGTTAGTGTGAACACGGGCAGTAGTAATTTTTCTCGAAATATTCCTAAATCCCTAGAAATCAACTCTTCAAAACTTTGTTCCAAATGAACATCCTTTTACGTTTTCCCTGGCTGGTTGTTAGTGTTGGCGGACCATGTGAAAGGATACAAGATGCAGGTTTCGTTTCCTTTTTGAGAGTCGTCAATCTGGTCGTACTTGCATCCTCAGTGACCAACTCTGACTGAGTTTTCAATGTAGAACTTTGTACATAAAGGGCTAGTGAATTTCGAACATGCAAAGTCATGAAGATTTACTGCGTCTGAAAGACTACAAAGAGTGTGAATGGATCAATATCATTGAATAACGACTTTGAGACATATCACCACTTATTATCTTTAGACATTGATTCTCGGAGTCTCACAGCCACACAGTCTACACCTCACTGCATGTGTGGCTGGCTCATATCGACGGTCAATGACTTTACAGACTGACGCCAGGTATATGCGTTCTATCTCCCGTGTGAAGTGAGCAATATTGAGGTTAGGCGACGAGTGCTAGGTAGGTGGGAGGGGAAATCAGTCGATGAGGTTGTGAAGCTACATCGTCTGATATGATTAGGACATTTGTTTCGCGTGTATGCCTAGCCATTGCCTTCCTCGACAGCAGGCAATGTTAGCTGATATAGGGATGGATCAGGTTGGAAAACAGCCAGTGATGGTCAAACCTAAACAATGGCTTCATCAGTCAATGAAAGAAATCCACAACAGTTGATTTAAGCCAGCCAACCACGTAGGAAGGTGTAGACTTCCTGGTGTGGGGTCCTCGAGACGATAAACACCAATGGCTGGAGACAATTGGTGATATGGCTCGAAATCTATCTCAGTGGCTAGAGCAGATCCATTCACTCCTTGTGACTTACAATTTCCAATAAAACTATATTGTTCTTCGTTGTTACTATTCTTTTTGCCTGATATCTCCTTTTACTATCTCTGTTTTTCATTTATTTTTACTTTCTTCTCTTTCTTTGTGTGCTACATGAAGGGATAGTGGCGATTCAAACTGCTGCGCTTGTGTGTAAAGTTCTATTTTGAAAACAAACAGACAGACATATTCAGAAGTACGCACCTCACCGTGGTCGAACCCCCAAGACTTTCTGGTATAGCTTTTACTACACTGAATAAATATTACACTTTTTCTATAGGTATAATCAGTTTTATTTTCTTTATGTGTTTTTGGATAATTAGACATTCATGGGACAAAAAAGTTGGCATCACCTACAAATCGTCGAATCAATACACGTCGATTGAATACAGTATTTGGTAACTTCAAAGTAAGTCTATTATTATTACTACTATTATTATTATTATTATTATTATTAAGATGAAATAGAGAGTGTGAATACTACTCTGTTGCGAAATGGGTTATCCCACTAATTTTGTAATAAAGTGTGTCTATAGAAGGAAATGTATAAAATAAAGGGGGTTACAATGAGCTAAGAAAAAGAGGCAGGACAAACAGTGGCTCAATGCGGACACTTGGAAACTAATAGAGGAGAGAAGGATAGTGAAACAAAAGATTATCCAGTGCACCCACGAGCAACAAAAACAGGAGTTGAATGCAAGCTACACTGCGCTGACCAAAAGAGTGAAGAAGAGTGCCGGGGAAGACAAAAGAAAATATTATGAAGCCATGGAAAGTGAAGCAGAACAAGTTGCAGTGCAGGCAAAGGAGACCCCGTCACACTCTACCAAACAACTAGGCACCTTTCGGGCAAAAGTTCGACACAGATTAAGCCAGTCAAAGATAACAATGGAAAGTCAATCGCCAAAGAGGTGGAGCAAAGAAAACACTGGGCTGAACACTTCAAAAGACTTCTAAATCGTCCGCCACCTAAAACGCTCCCAACAATACCAGAAACGGAAGCAGAACTACCAGTGAACATTGACCCCCCGACAAAATCAGAAGTCCTGAATGCAATCAAGATGCTAAAAGCTGGAAAAGCAGCAGGACCAGATGGAATCCCAGCAGAAGCTTTGAAAATAGACCCAGAGACAACAGCGGACTTGATGACGCCACTGCTGGAGAAGGTGTAGAAAGAGGACAAAGTACCCGATATTTGGAAGAAAGGATACTTATTCAAACTACCAAAGAAAGGAGACTTAAGTCAATGCAAAAACTGGCGTGGAATTATGCTCCTGTCCATCCCAAGCAAAATACTAAGCCGCATCGTCCTGGAGAGAATCAAACAAGCCATGGATGCAAAACTCTGACAGGAACAAGCTAGATTCAGGAGAAACAAGTCATGTATTGATCAAATCGCCACTCTACGGATCATCATTGAGCAAAGCTTCAAACGGCAGTCACCTCTCTACCACACTCAACTTCATTGGCTTTGAAAAGGCCTTCGATAGTGCAGCGTCGATCGAGAGGTGATTTTGAAACTACTTCGCTACTACGGGGTCCCATCGACAATTATCCATCTCATCCCACAGTTGTACGACAATGCTGCATGCCAAGTAATCGACAACGGGAAACTTACAGAAGCCTTCTAAGTGAGGACGGGAGTGAGACAAGGCTGTCTATCATCGCCAATGATCTTCCTGATTGCAGTAGACTGGATAATGCGACAGACAGGGGCGGGGAATGAGGAAACAGGCATAAAATGGATTCACACAAAGAACTCGGAGGATCTGGACTTCGCCGATGATACATGTCTGATTTCCCACAAACTGAAAGATATGTAAGTGAAAAGCAACAAGTTGGCACAAGAAGCATCAAAGACAGGAAGGACTTCAGGTAAACACAGAGAAAACAGAGGTGATGAAGATTCCTGACCAACACCGACAGCAACAACAACAACAGATAACAATCAGCCAGCATGAATGGGAGGAACCTGAAATAAACAACATCCTTTACCTACCTACCTGGGAAGCATCGTTTCAACTACAGGCAGAGCTGAGGAGGATATCAAAGCCAGAATCGGAAAAGCAAGACTCTCAAGTCTGTGTGGAGGTCAACATCACTCAGAATCAAAAATAAGATCCGTCCGGATTTTCACCTCCAATGTGAAATCAGTCAGTGCTACTCGCTATACGGATCAGAGACTTGGCCAACGCGTCATAAAGAGCATCTCAAACAAACTGCAGACCTTCATTAACAGTTGTCTTCCCTCAATACTCAAGATCAAATGGCTTGCCAGTAAAGGTCATTAACAGGGATCTCTGGCAATGAACGAACCAACCCACTAGGAGGAACCGATTGTGCAACAAATAAGTAGGAAGAAATGGAGTTGGATTGGCTAGCCATACTCTGAGAAAACAAACCACCATCAAATGAAATCACTCGCCAGGTCATCGGTCGAATGGGACCTGAAAGGGAAGCGGTGAATTGGTCGTCAGTGTGTGCGTGACTTGGAGGAGATCATGTGAAGAGGAGATGAAAAGATGTGGGAGACATGGAGTCAGATGAAAGCCTTAGCAGAGAATCGAATGCAATGGAGACGTTTGGCTGAAGCCCTATGTTCCTCTAGGAATTAAAGGAAATAATAATAATAAGAAGAAAAAGCTTTATTTAAGGGTGCACTTCATGGGCGATATATATATATATATTGGGTGTATCCTATTGGTCATGACTTCTCGATAGAAAACTGGATTTCTCCTCTGGTGTGTTGAGGGTTTGTGAGTGTGTGTGTGTGCTGCCGATGAGTCTCAAGCCAGAACGAAACAGCCGTCCAGTACTCCTTGATAGTTTTCATTGGTTTTTCTAGCTGATATCAATCCGTAATCAAACTGGATAAACAAATCAAATACACTCCTACAAACAAACTCATGAGGATTATTTTTGCTGCTCGCTTGTTACTGATCACAGGATGATGTTTCCTGGAGTTCTAGTGAGAAGTCGTCACTAGGAGTGTGCGTGTTCATCTGATCAGGATTAAGGACAGTTACTGGCCACCGATGATGCTGATTGTTGGTCGCGTTTAAAGATCACGAATTTGTAGAAGTTAGAATTCATGCGCTAGCCATTGAGTTGGATCCCAGTGGCTTAATGGTTTACAGGCCTTGTAACCAGATCATAGGTTCGTAGCCTTTGGGGCTGGTGCATACTACTGAAGAGTCCCAAACTGGGATAACGGAAACAGGTGTCTGGCAGTACTCACAGGTTGTTCCTCAATGGTTCTCTAACTTGTATCAGCTCATGATAAAATCCCACATAGGACGAAATGCGCACCCTGGATTCCACTGCTTGTTACCATCCACCAATTAAATACTAATTAAATGTCCAGACATCGTCGAAGCATCTGTACAAGAAGCTGATAGACATGCCAACCTGATACCGAGCACTTCGGTCCAATCAAACGATGGGAAAATCTAAAATTCAAATAAATAGTTAACATTACCTGTTGTACAAGAGGTAGTGGCTCTCGTGGCCCAAGTGGTCTAGTGGATAACGCTTTTTGGCGTTTGAAACTGTGGGCACTGGGTTCGAGTCTCCGTGGTGGGAACATCATCACTGACTCACTGAGAAATGCAGGTACATCCACTGGCTGACGAGTCCAAAATAGGACGAAATGCGTGTTATCCTGGATCCCACTGGTAGTCACCATCCATCATTTAAATACTAATAATTAATTAATTAATGGCAATATGTATTCTAATAATATTCATGGATTTATGACCAAGTGAAGAACCTGAAGAAGAAGAAGAGGTTGTTATCGAAGCCACAATTGGTTCGCTCAATATCCATCTTGTTCCGATTACACTATGAGAATTTTTAATTTACCTAATAACCTGTTAATGTACACATTAATTAAATTGCTTATCTTTGACGTGCTTTTCTTCTGTTTTCCTCGCTTCCTCTCCCCTTTTTCCTCAAGTCATCTTTAGATCAGTTACTCGATGTAATTACTAGCCATAATTTATTTTTCATACGTTGTATTCGACCGGATATACCGTCGGAAAATGTTGTTGGTCAGCGGATAACTTCGCCGTCGTTGTCACCTTCTTATCCCCCTTCTCCTCCTTCTATTGATGCTGATTATGTTAAAGATCAACTTGTAAATAGTGGAGTTTTAGCGGCTTTAGAAGTTCTACGGTCTACGTATTATGCAAGGTAAACTGGTTTGTTATTATCATCTTGTGTGTAATATGGTGTGTGTGTGTGTATATGTTGATATTAGATGGTTGAAGGCAATCGGTCACAGGAAGCCTTCAATCTAGGTTTTGTGCTAGTTGGCACTCACACCAGTCAGTCAGTCAGTCAGTCAGTCAGTCAGTCAGTCAGTCAGTCAGTCAGTCAGTCAGTCAGTCAGTCAGTCAGTCAGTCAGTCAGTCAGTCAGTCAGTCAGTCAGTCAGTCAGTCAGTCAGTCAGTCAGTCAGTCAGTCAGCCAGTCAGTCAGTCAGTCAGTCGGTCAGTCGGTCAGCAAGGCGTGTATCTGCAACCACCTTGGAGGAACTTACTTACTTGTGTCCCTTCTGACATTCGAACCCGCGTCAACCAGTTCTGCTGCGGTACTGAGTTGAAGATACGCCTTGCTAACTGACTGGTGAGTGCCAGCTAGCACGAAACCTAGATCATATAGGGCTTCCTGCCGATTACCTCCAACCATCTAATATATCATCAAATCAATATGAACAGTGATGGCTAGCTACCTAGTCGTATGGTGGCCACATTGTGAACCTCACTGATAGAATTCGATTTGCACCAAACACCAAGGGCTAGACATATCACACTAGTCACTGACTAGTGTCCAATCAAAGCTATGCTGTCTCTTCCCTCTGCAGAGAGAGGGGGTTACAAAAAGTTGACCCCGAAAATTGTACATCCCGACATACTCCACCTACGGTGGTCCGTAACCGGTGGTAAGTTTACTAATACGGAACCAAACCAAGAAACCACTTTATACAGGCCGTGTGTGACCGGCCTCAAGCAGTTGTCCCCTGGGCTCTCTGGTCACGCAACACTAACCCTCTTCCTGTTTCAGGTACCCGAAGAATCAATCAACTTCCACGGTGTTGGCAACCGGGAAGTAACAACCGCCCACACACTTCCAAAAGCACACGAAGCCTTGTTAACAGACTTTGAGTGGGGAGTGAGAAGAGATTGAATCGGCAAGAAGACTGTTGAAGATGTGAACTTTGCGGGTGATTTATGTCTAATGTTCCATAAATTCAAAAGATTAAAGGAGAAAACCAACAATTTGGTGGAAGAGACTGGCAGCGAAGACAGGAGTTCAAGGGAACATAAATAAGACAGAGGTGTTGAAGATAACCAACCAAATAACCAGCAGCAACAACAACCAGCATCAATCACTATCAACGGGAGGAATTTGAAAGAGGTCATTACCTTCACTTATTTAGGTGGAATCGTTTTAATAACTACAGGTGACAGTAACGATGAGGATGTCAAACCAGGACCGGAAAGAGAAGACAGACCTTCATCACTCTGTAATCAGTTTGGAAATCTTCTTCACTCAGTCAGTATAAAGAAAGAATTTTCAATTTTCAATACCATTGTTAAGTCAGTGAGTCATTTCTTCTATATGTGTGACACCTGAAGTAGGCGTCACGAAAAGTATTTCTCAAAGGCTACTTCAAACGTTTATCAACAGCTGCCCTCTTCAGTGACTTCCATACTGAAGATCAAATGGCCGGCCGTGAAAAAATTTGGTAACAAGAAACTGTGGGAGCACACTCATCAGTAACCCTTCTGTTCAGCATGAATGTGTGCGTTGGTGGCACAGTGGTTAGGACTCTTGCCGACCATGCATGCATATAGTTCGAGGTTCGATCCCCCGCCGACGCACACCTGATATCAATGGTCGGCCTGCAAAATTTGGGCTACCGATATCACAGGCTGAAAATTCCATACTTGTACCAAAAATGCAGTGTGGAATCAAGCTGTAATTAAAAAATAAAAAAAAAAATAAAAATTCCGAAAAACAAATGAAGATGGATTAGACACCTACTGATTAGACGATCAAAGGACAACACACACCAGGCTGTTGAGTTGAGTCTAAATGGGAGACAATGAGAAGCTATGGGCAGTCATATTAATATATGTGTAGAACTTGGTCACTGTGGTAGCAAGTAATTCCATATTAGTTTGTTTATTAGATGTATCACACAGTCAGTGAAACAGTATCATTTACTGGATGACACCCTTTCGAACACAATTCATTATTGTTCATAATCAGCCCATCAATTATAATCACATAACTTCGAAACTTGAGTTTTATAGTTTTCCTTGTCTTCTCCTATTTGTCGTCGTTGGGGTAGTAGAATTTTCCAGATGTCCGAGTGGACAGGTGTTGAATCATTCCTATTACATGTATTTGCAGTTGATTTGAAAAGCCAAGCTTCTGTTATCAATCTCCCCCTCCACCCTGTGGTACATTAGATTTCACAACTGTCATCTTACCCCATCCTATTGTATGGTTGTGTGTAACTGCATGTCGTGTGGTGCTATAGCTGAACTATTCTCTAGATTTCTTATCTTATTCAGGTTAACCAATCTAGATTTTTCTGCTAGGTTTTTATGTTCGGGTAGTCAGACTCACTGCCCCTGTTCTACTAGTTTGACTTATGTATTTGACCTGACAACTATTGCAGGCAGGGTATTAGATAAACTGAATTGTTTTGTTTTTAAAGGCTCCATAGGATTGATCCTTTAATCGACAAAGCTTGTTTCTAATTGAGTTTGTGGGTGGTGTGAATGTCAGCCACTTTTATTCCTGCCTTGTTAAGAATAAAACAGATTGATAACAGAATCAACTAAGAGGGAATACGTGTAATAGGAATGATTCAACACCTGTCCACCCAGATATCTGAAAAATTCTACTACCCCAACGACGACAAATAGGAGAAGACAAAGAAGACTATAAAACTCAAGTTTCGAAGTCGTGTGATTATAATTGATGGGATGATTATGAACAGCCATAATGAATTGTGTTCGAAACTGTGTCATCCAGTAAATAATAATACTGTTTCACTCTGTGTGTGTGATACATCTTAATAAACAAACTAATATGGAACTATGGGCAGTCATGTTGTCAACTGAAAAAGGTTGAAGAGAACTGGACAAAATACAGATTTTCTGTTGAAAGCATATATTCCTCTCGGAACTCAAGGGAATAATAATAACAATAATAATTTTAAAATAAATCTGAGTTGAATCAAACCATATTAACGGTTGGAGTAATCGAAACGGTCATCCATTGTTTGATGCAAAGACTACACTACTATTTAACGTGATTGGTTTTGCAACTACTTATATAAGTCAATCAGTAGTATACACCGGTATGCGTGAATCTGTTTCCCTTTTTTAATCATATTGTTTATCCCATTTTATCTGCTCGATAATTTCTTCCTCTTATTGTTTCTTTTTTCTATTAGATATGCATATGATGAGTTTATTAGTGAGTATAGAATATTCTGGCAATTGACTCCAAATCCACCACCAGCTAGTCGATTATTAGAATCTGACTTGCAATTGTTAAATTCATGGTATTTAAAATTAACTCACTTGCCAAGATCAACGGTGAAACGAGCACCGCTTAATAAATTAAGTCGTGAAACGAGTAAGTTTATGTTATGTTATTATGATTGTTCTATTATTATTATTGCCTTAGGTTCTGTCTGAGTGGAATATAGGCCTTCAAACAGAGCTTACACATCTCCATTTCACCGTGTCCTCCATAGTTCTTTATAGCTGACATCATGATCTCTTTGAGCGCATCAGTCTTGAGGCGCGTCGTCATTTCTTGTGGAGGTTCTACTCAACGGCATAGTGGAAGATATGAAAAGATTAGCTGTCTTTGATCATAGGTGTCTGTGCTCTATGCTCCCGTGTTAAATGGTATAATGTGGGCAACATTGAGGTTAGGCTTCGATCGAGTGCTAGGTAGGTGGGAGGGGAAATTAATTGACCTGGTTGTGAAGTAACATCAACTGAGATGGTTAGGACATGTGTTACGCATACCTGTCTGGTCATCGCCTTCCTCGACAATGGGCAATCTTAGCTGACATAGGATCGATGAGGTTGGAAAACACCCAGTGTGGTGGTCAAACCAAAACCAACGTGGCTTCATCAGTCATTGAAGAAATTCACAACAGTTAGTTGAAGCCAGCCAGTCACGTAGGAAGGTGTAGACTTCTTGACTGGTTGGGGTCCACGGGACGGTAAAAACCAATGGTTGGAAGCAATCAGTGATATGGCTCAAAATCGTTCTCAATGGCTAGCGGAGATGTATCCACTGCTTGTGACTTATGATTTCCAATGAAACCATATTGTTCTTCGTTATTACTATTCCTTTTTTCTCAAGACCCTGTCTACTGTCTCTATTGTGCATTTCTTCTACTTTCTTCTGTATCTTTGTGTGGTACATGGAGGGAGAGTGGCGACTTGAAGTGCTGCACATCGGTGGAAGGTTCTATGTCGAAAACAGATAGACAGACAGACAGACAGTAGTGTGCCGTGTCATTCAGACGGTCTTCTCTGCGTATATTCACTCCATCCCCATTTTCTTCTGCATATGCGTTTTTCGCATTTAGTTTATTAGTATTGTCGTGTTATACCTTTTTGTTTTGAATGTCCACTTTGATAATCTATGACTCGTGTTTTGTCCTGTTTGGGACTCGTCAACTGGATGTGACGCATATGGATGATGCATTTGCGATTCGCAAAGATGGAATCTGATTTCAAGTTAATCAGCCTTGTAAACGCTAAATATATTTTTTTTTAATTCACTTAGGTGGCACAGTGGTTAGGACTCTCGCCGACCATGCACATGGTCCGGGGTTCGAGCCCACACCGACGCACACCTGATATCTATGATCGGCCTGCAAAATTTGGGCTACCGATATCCATGCTGAAAATTCCATACTTGTACAGAAAATACAGTGTGGAATCAAGCTGTAAATCAAAAAAAAAAAAAATATATATATATATATATAAAATATTAGGTTATTATCAGTAGTAATTGTAATGTGGCTTTCACGGACTTTAATATATTTGACTTTATATTAGTGTTTCCGAGTTCGCTTCTCTTGTTACTCAATCTGTGTCTGTCTGTCTGGTTTCAACATAGAACTTGGCACCGAAGTGCAGCAGTTCCAGCCGCCACGTTCCAAATAGCACACAAAGGTAGACAAGAAGATGAGTGAAGAGAATCAATACAGTCTGACAAGTATAAGAGTGAAACAGAATGGGTAATGGTAGAAAGGAATATGAAAGATTACAGAGACTGAATACATCTGCGCTGGCCATTGACAACGATTTTGAGCCATTTCACCTATTGTCTCCTCCAGCCATTGATTCCTAGAGTCCCGAGGGCCCCAACCCGGAAGTCTGCATCTCCCTACCTGACTGACTCAGTTTAACTGTCAAGGATTTCATGGATTGATGAGGCCATGTTTTTGTTTGGCCACCACTTACTCTTTTCCAACCTGCACCTATATTACTCAGCTAGTAATGCCCGTCGGGGGAGGCGATGGTTAGGCATGCGCACCACGTGACCTAGTCATCTTAGTCTACGTAACTTTATAGCCTCGTCGATTGATTTTCCCTCTTTACCCAACACTACGCTTAACGTCAACATTACTTACCTTATTAAACCACCTAACGTGAGAAAGAGATCGGAGACATCTATGATCGAAAGCAGTCAACCTTTTCATTTCTTCAACGCGTATTGGCCATGTTTCAGAGCCATAGAGAAGGACGGAGCGAACTCAATCTGTGTGACTACTGTTCAACGGACCTTGTTGAAGTAGTCAGCTGTTATTGTGTCTCTCTATCTCAATTTCCCCATCCACCTCTGAATTTGACTGGTGTCAGCATGCGCTTTTGTTTGTCTCCTCTTCTGTTGGCATAAATAGAGGACCGCGTTTCTCGATGATAGTGTATGTCTTTTTGTTTTCAACCTTGGAAGAAGCTTTTGTGAATAGTCACATACCTTGGAATCAATATACTTTCTTCTTACTCCACTGTTGGAGATGGGGACCAACGTCGTCTTATTATGTAATTGGAGCTCATGATTTTTCTACGTTACATCTACTGAAACAGTGAATTACTTGTTGTTGTTCCTTGTATCATCAACGAGGCTGGGCATCCCAGTAATTAATGCCTCAGTATGAATTTAGTTTTATTCAGAACAGATTCTTCATGTAAATAGGTTAAAAGTTAAACGTATTGTGTGAGTGTGTGTTGGAGTTAATGATATACTACCCAGTTGTCCAGCTAGGCTAAGTTAAATGGAGGCGAATTTTGAATCCCGGGACCTTGTGACTGAAATCCAATTGCCGAAGCGGAAAAACGTATATATATATATATATATATATATATATATATGTATGACGTTACTTCATATGAACTGTGATCAAGATTTGTGCGTCGATGGCACAGTGGTTAGGACTCTTGCCGACCATGCACATGTTCCGGGGTTCGATTCCCTGCCGACGCACACCTGATATCAATGGTCGGCCTGCAAAGTTTGGGCTACCGATATCACAGGCTGAAAATTCCATACTTGTGTAACAACAGAAGACAAGGGCCAGTTAACCGATCGTTTGTTAAGGAAATCAACACATATTTATAGATTTTCATGTACATTATTATAGATTATTGTTAGCAGAAAAACACAGTCTTCTGATTCTTGGTTATTTCTCACTGAAAGTTAGCCTTGCATCTCTTTACGGCTGTTTCTTGAATGGTAGATCATCCATATGCTAACTGTATCTGCCTACGCAAAGCCTTTGTGTTCTCATTTTTCTCACGACGATTATTGGGGACATAAACACTGACGTAAATTACTGTCCACCAATTTTGGCTAACAGACAGCTCTCACCACACTTGCACCAATAATACGGTGTGGAATCAAGCTGTAATCAAAATTAAAAAAAAAAACAAATAAGAAATATAATTGAGCGCCGAGTAAGAAGTAGACATCTGTAAAAAAAAATAATATTTGTATAATCTCAAAGAAATTGAAATCAGCGTTAATTGCAACACACCATACGTTCAAAAAAACTGGTCAGAACTTCTTCAGGGAAATTAATTGACATTAAAATAACAGAAGTTTATTATTTATATATAAAAAGGGGGACATTTTTTTTTAAAAAAAAAAACTTTGTCCAACCAAATGAATCATGAAACAGGTATCAACATGTTATAATAAACAAACAAAATTCTATGAACTGTGATCAAAATTTGACCTCACTTTAAACAGAGTGTACTTCTAAAGCATCAGAATTTTAGTGACTATACTCCACTAAAATTTCTTGATCGTAGATAACTGAATATGAAAATGTACGTTTATGTATATATGCATGCGGTATACACTGGTGTGTGTGTATGGGTAAACAGATGTAAAACATTTGTTTCAGGATTTCATCACGAGCTGACATTAGTTAGAGAACCATTGGAAAACCAGCGCTGGAGTACTGGACAGCTGTTTCGTCCTAGTTTGAGACTCTTCAGCAGTACGCACCCACCGGGATTCGAATCCAGGACCTTCTGGTTACAAGGCGAGCTCGTATACCATAAAGCCACTGGGACCCGATCCAATGGCCAGGCCATGAATTCCAACTTCTGCCAAATCACGACATAGCTCGACCGCCAGCCAATGTCTTCGGCGAGTATTTGTCCTCACACCCGACCAGCTGCACCCTACTGGTCACGACTTCCCACTGGAACCCAGGTAACTACCTACCTGAATAGGGCCAGTCGCCAGTGAGCATCTCATTGGTATTTAAGTGATGGTTTGTAGGGATTTGGTTTGTTTGTCTCTCAATGAGAAGATATAGATTAATTAGTGGTACATATCCATTTTTGTTTATTAATCAGGATTTGCTATGCATCAGCTAACACACATCACACCATCATTTCTGTTTAAACTGTTAATATCTAGAATTTTATGATTAGATGTATTTTCAAAATTATGGTGTTCAAGATTAGAGTTTAGTTGAGGAGCACCCTTTCGAATTTATTGATTTGTCTTCTTTTATTTGAAGATTGAAGATAATATTCTTCTTTAGACTTAATGACAGTCTTCAATTCTGGTGTAACAACCAAGACAGATAAGAATTCATTAACATTGGAAATTCGCATTCGAAATGAATCCATATTTTTGGTTGCCCTATGAACACGTTCCTCCAAGTCACCTTTGCACTGGCGACCAACTCGCCGCTTCCCGTTCGCGGGTTCCATTCGAGCGATGGCCTGTCGTGTGATGTCACTTGATGATGGTTTGTTTTCTCAGAGTATGACTAGCCAAATCAATCTCCATTTCTTCTTGCTTATTTGTTGCACAATCGGTTCCTAGTGGGTTGGTTCGTTCATTGCTAGAGATCCCTATTTCTGATCTTTTCTCGCAGATCATCTGATCTTGAGTAGTATTGAAAGAAGACAGTTGTAGATGAAGATCGGTAGTTTGTTTGAGGTGTTCTTTATGAAGCACCAAGTCTCTGATCCATAAATCAGCACTGACTTCACATTGGATTTGAAAATCTGGATCTCATTTTTCATGCTGAGTGTGCTGTTCATCTTCTCCACACAGACTTGAGAGAAGTGAAAGCTTGTCTCGCTTTCCCGATCCTTGCTGTTTTGATATCCCCGTTATTTCCGTCCGTCTGTAGTTGCTTCCCAGGTAGGTAATTGTGACGTTGTTTCTTTCAGGTTCCTCCCATTTATGCTGGCTGATTGTTGTCTGTTGTTGTTGTTGCTGTGGCTGTTGGTGTTGGCCAGGAATCTTCATCATCACCTCTGTTTTCTCCATGTTTACCTGAAGACCTGCCTCTTTTTGATGCTTCTCCCTCTGTCAACTTGTTGCTTTTCACTTGAATATCTTCCAGTTTGTGGGAAATCAGAGATATATATGTCATCGGCGAAGTCCAGATCCTCCAAGTCTCTTTTTGTGTGAGTCCACTTTATGTCTGTTTCCTCGTTGCCCACCGCTGTCTGTCATTGGCGATAGTAGGCAGCCTTGTCTTACTCGTCCCATGAATTCCTTATCGCCAGTCTTTTCTGGCTAACCGTCTAATCTTCAGTATAGAGCCAGCAAAAGCGTGAGACAGGTGTTGATGAAATTCTTCACTTGGAAATGCTTCTTTTTTTTTGTAACACACATCATACGTCTGAAGTGTCTGAACGATATAGTGTAGTGGGTTATTAACTAACTGTGTCGTCCCCTACCTACTGCTGTATCGAATAACACTTTAATTCACTATTATGATTGCTCTTTCTTATTGTTTTTTTTCTCTCAGGTGAATCCTCTATACAACAGCAGCAACAACAATTTGTGCTTAGCCTGTTAACACTTGGATTGAATTTATCCTCAGTTAAACCGCATAAGAAGTCAACTATTGTTAATACCACTTCTACTACTAATCATAATAATAGTAGTATGTATTCATCCCATCAAATATTTTCAACATTTCCTATCATCTATCAATTTGGTCGTACACGAATTCATTTGACAAAATGTCAATTTCAACATTTAATTAATTTAAAGCAATTTATGTTAAGCATGAAAGCGAAAGTGATACAACGATGTAAGTTACATAAATCTCCTTATTTCTACGAGTTGATCATGGATTGATATCAGTTGGAGAATCATTGAAAACAAGCTACAGGGAGTACCGGACAGCCAGCTGATCGTACTAGTTTTGGGAATCACCGGCAGTATGCCCCCCCCGCACCACCATGTTTCGAAACCAGAACCTTCCGGTTACAAGGCAAGCTCGTGTACCATTTAGCCACTGGGACACGATTCAATGGCTGGTCCATGAATTCTAGCCAGTTAGTGATTTAGCGCGACCCCAACCATTATATCGTAGGTGGGACATCCATTTTTCACACGTGACGTCATCTGGATGGACCTCACTGGTCACGACTTCTCACTAGAACTCCCTCCAGGAAACTCCATCCTGTAGTCAGCCAGTCACTAGCGAGCATCAGATTAATTTTCTATAGTTTGGTTTTTACGAGTTGATCATGAATCGACATCAGTTAGAGAAAAACCACTGAACAGCAGCACTGGAGTACTGGACAGCTATTTCCATTATTCTAGCTTTGGGACTCTTAAGCAGTAAGTAAGCACTCACCGCCAAGGTTCGAACCCAGGACCTTCCGGTTACAAGGGAAGCTCGTACACGACTCAGCCACTGGGACCCGACTCGATTCAATGGCTAGCCCATAAATTCTAACTTCTACCAATTCGTCAGTATGTCCGTCTGTTTTCGACAAAGAACTTTCCACCGATATGTATCAGTTCAAGTCGCCACTCTCCCTCCATGTACCACACAAAGCAAGTGAAGAAAACAGAAGAAATGCACAATAGAGACAGTAAACAGAGGTGTGATACAAAAGAATAGTAATAACGAAGAACAATAGAGTTTCATTGTAAATCATAAGTCACAGGGAGTGGATACATCTCCGCTAGCCATTGAGAACGATTTTGAGCCATATCACTGATTGTTTCCAGCCATTGGTTTTTACCGTCCCGGGGACCCCAACCAGTCAGTCAGGCAGTCTACACTTTCCTCCATGGTTGGCTGTCTTAAACTAACTGTTTTGGATTACATTGACCGATGAAGTCACGTTGGTTTTGGTTTGACCACCACTAGGTCTTATCCAACCTCATTGATCTTATGTCAGCTCAGATTGTCGAGGAAGGCGATGACTAGGCATGCATACGTAACACATGTCTTAACCATCTCAGTTGATGTTACTTCACAACCAGCTCGATTGATTTCCCCTCCCACCTACCTAGCACTCGATCGAAGCCTAACCTCAATATTGCTCACCTGATTATACCACTTCAAACGGGAGATAGAGCACAGGCATCTATGATTTAAGACGGCTAATCTTTTCATGTCTTCCACCTGGGGTTCTAGTGGGAAGCCGTGACCAGTAGGGTGCAGCTGATCGAAGGAGAGACAGTAACTCATCGAAGAAGACATTGCGAAGTGGTCGCACTATGTCATGAATTGGGAGAATTTGGAATTCATGGATTGGTCATTGGATCAGGTCCCGGTGGATTAACGGTCGGTCTACGAGCTAGTTGGCCTTGTAACCAGAAGGTCCTGGTCCCACCCCTGGGGTGGGTGTGTGCTGATGAAAAGTCACTAGCGCCGGGACGAAACAGCTGGCCGTCCGGTACTCCCAATTGGTTTTCCAATGGTTCTCTAACCGATTTCAGCTCATAATCAAATCCTGTAACCAATTCTAATTATTTTATGATCTTGTAATTGTAATAGAACCCAAAGAAGTTTATCGTGGGCGAATATTCTTTGTGCACAATTCATCGTAGTCTTTTGATGAAATAAATTTGTGACAAACATCTTTTGGCTAATTAAAATGATAAATGTATTTGTTTTATTGTTTTCTCTTCATTATTTTACAGTTTTCAAAAGATATTTAAAACGTAAATTAGCGGCTAAACGAATTCAACGCTGGTGGAGACGTGTACTGGCCAATCGTCAATTTGCATTAGAGCAATATTCAACTGCTTTAGCGATACCATTGTGTAATGAAAGTCATAATACTGACGGTGGCGATGATGATGATGATGATGAATGTGATAAAGACAGTCTCTTCGATGATAACTCAACGGATGATATTCAATCGACAGTGTTGTCAAGCCAAGGAACAGCAGGTGAACAGGAGATTCAAGAAGCTGAGATTATTGGTCATCCAACATCATCATCCCCTTGTCTTTATTCAGTCCCTGAATCGATCGATCTGCCAACTCGTCAAAGGCATATTATTTCACGTCGTTATTTACCACGATCGACGAGCAATCGTCATCATTATCCTAGTGAGACAACATTTTATAGTCAATATAACAATACTACTACAATGAATGTTAGTAGTAGAGACAGACATTTTAAAAAACAATCTAACCTTCTTAATTATTTAATACCTTTTTGTTATAAAAGTCATTTTCTTAAATTTTATGAAACTCTTGAATCTGTTAAAGGCCTGTTAGATATCATTTATGATCAATAATGGTATTAATAATAATAATAAACTTTTTTAACAAATAAGTTTATTTTTTTCACGGCGTTTCCATTCCAAGTGGAACATAGGACTACAGGATGTTTGAGTCCTTTTAGTAGTAGTGTAGATGAAAGATTAACTTTCAGTGAGAAACAATCAATTAGAAGACTGTGCTTGTTTGCTTAAATAATCTATAATAATGTACATGAAAATCTATAAATATGTGTTAATTTCGTAAATAAACGATCTGTTTCCTGGGCCTTGTCTTCCGTTGTTTCAGTAGTAGTAGCAGTTGGAGGGGTTGCCAGCTTCACACGCTCTCAACCTTCTATCTTTACCATGACTTATCATCGGTTAGTAAACTGGAAGAGTTTTAGTAATGAGTTGGCTTTTCCCAGTATATAAGAAGGGAGATAAGTCTTCCTGTGATAAACATGTCTGTCTGTCTGGATTCAACATAGAACTTGGCACCGAAGTGCACCAGTTCCACTTGCCACGTTCCAAATAGCACACAGAGGTAGACAAGAAGATGAGTGAAGAGAATCAATAGAGTTTGACAAGTATAAGAGTGAAACAGAATGGGTAATGGTAGAAAGGAATATGAAAGATTACAGAGACTGAATACATGTGCTCTGGCCATTGACAACGATTTTGAGCCATGTCGCCTATTGTCTCCAGCCATTGATTCCCAGAGTCCCGAGGGCCCCAACCCGGAAGTCTGCATCTCCCTACCTGACTGACTCAGTTTAACTGTCAAGGATTCCATGGATTGATGAGGCCATGTTTTTGTTTGGCCACCACTTACCCTTTTCCAACATTGTTTCTTGTTAGCCTCTGTCCGTGGCACAGTGGTTAGGACTTTCGCCGACCATGCACATGGTCCGGGGTTCGATCCCCTGCTGACGCACACCTGATATCTATGGTCGGCCTGCAAAATTTGGGCTACCGATATCACATGCTGAAAATTCCACACCTGTACCAAAAAATACGGTGTGGAATAAAGCTATAATAATAAAAAAATAAGCTAGAAACGATGGCACAGTGTGTGAGAGAGAGGGCGTTTCACTGTTATTCTATGTTGGTACTCTTTCGTCTTTTTCCTGATGACGGCTAGAAAGCTATCCTTTGTAGCTTCGTCCCTCACTATCTAGGTGTTGAAGTTCATCGTAAGGATTTCTTGGACTATATTTAACAAATGTGTTATGAACTAATATCTACTTCTCGTCTCGATTATGTATCCAGCAAGCTGTGTGTCTCCACTTTCTTGAGATTGAGAGGCGAGAAGTCTATCTGAATTTTGATGTATGTATATGTTGAAACTTATGTTGCCTTGTGTTAAGTGCTTTCCAAGTTTTGCTTCACAGGCATTTGATTGGTTACCGACTTGATCACGAGATGACATCTGTAGGACAGTTGCTTCGTCCTATTTTCAGCGGTATACACTCACTAGAGTTTGATTCAGGGGCCTTCCAATTACAAGGTGAGCTAACAGACCTTTCATCCACTGGGATCCGAGCCAGTGGCCCATGAATTCCAACTCCTGTCAATTTGTGATCGTCAGCCGATGTTATAAGTGATGTCCACCAAGTCAGACAAGCGTACAGTTACTCGTGCTGGTTTTCCGATGGTTCTCTAAATAAGATCCTTGTGCATGCTGCCGTCAGTTACAAAATCATTAAAGATGTGAAAGTTTCTCATCTAGAAAACGATTATATTCCTTATTATTAGTTTTTCGCTTTTAGTTGCCATGTCGTATACAGAATAATGACTATTAAACAGAGAAATCAGTTCGGTAATACATTGTCTTACATTCAGGGTGTGTGTACTCTCTTAACTGGGTGGGTGGTTCAGTTACAAAGCTACGCTTATCTCTCTCTCTCTCTCTCTCTTCTAGAGACAACATCTTTAGCTATCAGTTCATCGTGGACATACATTGGAATTGATTGATAGATGGCTAACAGTGGAGACTAAGAGATGTCTGCTACATGCGATGGATTGTGGCCTCTCAATTCATCATCCTAGGGATATTTTTATCCCTGAGACTATCAGGGACTATCTGAGTAGCTTGACTTTTCACGTGTTCCATGCTTCATTTCTGATGATTTGTCAGGGGACTATTGTCGTCTTTTTCTCACTTCATTGATTCATATATATCTTACATCTGTGTTGATGATAATGTTTCTGAAAAATAATCGCTATTAATACAATGAATCACAGATGTTATTCTTCCTGGTCCCTCTCTGAAGCCTTTTCTGTCAGTTATTCCCCTGACGCCCATGATGGGTTAACAGGTATATTAACAAATTATGGCAAAGTTGTTTCGAAAGTTCAACTATATGAATCAGAGACTTGGCGCCGCGTCACGAAGGGCACTTTGTACAAACTAAAGACCTTCATCAACACCTGCCTTCACTCAACACTTCGCTCAAGATCAGATGGCCAGAAAAGATCAGCAACAGGGATCTCTGGCAATGAGCAAACCAACCAGGAACCGATTGTGCAACAAATAAGCAGGAAGAAATGGAGGTGAATTGGCTAGTTGTATTCTGAGGAAACAAACCATCAAGTGACATCACTAAACAAGCCATTGCTCGAGTGGAACCCAAGTGAATGCGAAGTGGCGAAGTTGGTCGTCAGTGCAAGGGTGACTTGGAGGAGGTCATATGAAGAGGAGATGAAAGCATGTGGGCAGATTTGGAGCCAGGTGGAAACTCTAGCAGAGAACCGAACGCAATGGAGACGTTTGGCTGAAGCCCTATGGTCCTCTAGGAATTAAAGGAAATAATAATAATAACAACAGTCGAACGATTATTAGATATGATAGAGAAGATTTGTAGCTCAGGTGGATGATTTTGATGTGGTTTTGTCCTCTGAGCTGGATGGTTAGTTTGCGAAGCTTTCATCACCCTACTGGGTGACATCTTCAGCTCATACTTCAATTTGAAGTGAGCTTTTAGATTTCTCCACGAGTTTATTAATCATTCCTCCTGGTGACCTTGGACGTGATTGGTTGTTTATGTGTGTTTTCACACCTTCTAGGTTACTTGTGTTGGAACTGATTGTTTCTTTGACTTGAACCTTGACCCTTTGTGTGGGTTAGTTTGCGAAGGTTCAAGTCAAAGAAACAATCAGTTCCAATACAAATAACCTAGAAGGTGTGAAAACACACATAAACAACCAATCACGTCCAAGGTCACCAGGAGGAATGATTAATAAACTCGTGGAGAAATCTAAAAGCTCACTTCAAATTGAAGTATGAGCTGAAGATGTCACCCAGTAGGGTGATGAAAGCTTCGCAAACTAACCATCCAGCTCAGAGAACAAAACCACATCAAGAACGATTATTAAAACCACACGCTGAGTGACGCGTAAAATCCGAAAACATAGGACTTATCTAAAATACGATACCATATTAAACGCAAAATATGAAATATAATATACAAACCTCAGTTGTGAGGTGTCTATGGAGCTGAATTCCATCAAAATGAACAGTCAATGTGCGTCGATAGGTAAAAAACAGCAGAACTGTGTCCAAGGTAATCCGCGTGCTAATTAAACAGCACTGGAATGTTGGACACAGAATAAAAGGATACGAACAGACCACGTTCAACAGTAACGGGTACTTGAGTAAAGCATATACAGCAAATAATGTCCATCTATAAGAAAATAATTACTTTACATACAATGAAGGAGTTAAACCAAATAATATTTAAGAAGTGAAATCTATTCATACTACTCACTAATGGTAAGTAACATAAAGTTAAACACAAAAGAAATAAAAGCAAAGAACAGCTAATACGGGAATTTAGAATATCTCTGTTCAATTTGGTAAAGTTATAGCACATTGATCATAGCTGACAGCAGCTGAAATGACCTAGAATCAGCCATTCACGATAAATCAAGCTAATTTTTCTAGAATAGTCCGTAAATACTTGAAAAAACTATTCCAAGAAGTGTAGGAATAACCTTCGATTGAGATGTAACAAAAATAACTTTCTTTGTTTCTGATAAGAGTGTCGGCTCGTTTAAGGTCTATCTCCTGAGTAAGGAGTTCGGGTTAGTTAGTAGGGGACCTTTCTCTCATTTAATCTATTCTCTGTATCCTGAACTGGATTCCTTAGTAAGACTAAGCTTGAAATCTCTGTTAATAATTCTATTACCAACCTCGAGAACCCCGATCGGTTGCTTCAAGGTCGTTTCTCTGCACATACACCTTCGTCAGTATTCTTTACCTTGGCAATGAATTCTACTCCATGCAACAAAAGAGTAGAGAAAAGTCCCAGGGAAGACAAAAGAAAATATCATGAAGCTATGGCACGTGAAGCAGAACAGGCTGCAGGCAAAGGAGACCTCGCAACACTCTACCAAACAACCAGGTTCCTGTCGGCAAAAGTTCAACATAAATTAGACCAATGAAGGATGACAATGGAAAGTTAATCACCGAAGAGGTGGACCAAAGGAAACACTGAGCTAAACACTTCAAAAGACTTCTAAATTGACGGCCACCTGCAATCCGCCCAATAATACGAACAGCGTTAGCAGAACTACCAGTGGATACCAAACCTCCGACGAAAACAGAAATTCTGAAGGCAATAAAGATGTTAAAAACTGGGGTTGACATGGAGGAGGTCATGTGAAGAGGAGATGAAAGCATGTGGGCAAATGTGGAGCCAGGTGATGAAAACGTTGGCAGAGAAAGGGGCGCAATTTAGACGTTTGGCTGAAGCCCTATGTTCCTCTGGGAATTCAGGGAAATGATAATATGATAATGACATATTTCGAAAGCACCCACTCGTTTCTATCGACTTAAATAGATAGAACAGACTCGATCAATTTCGATCTATCGATTTCTTCACGTAGTTTATTTAGATATGTAGCGGCCTGCTTAAAACTTGGGTTACCAAAAACTTCTATCTGTCTTTTGCGTATGTTTTCTCTCGTTCGGTTTGTTTCAACCAATTGGGCTATGATCCTTAGAAGTATTATCTACTCTTGTATGTATTTTAAAGGTTTATAAGCTCCTAACTCGCAAGTTCCTACTAAACTTGAGGAATGACCTGATTGTGGGTAGCAATATGTTCCAATACAACATGAGATAACCGTTCTTCATTTATTTCACTGGGTTTCAAAATGTACTTCTTAACATTATGGATAAGATTTTATTTTAATAAATCACACAGTGTGTTATACAGTAACATTTACTGATGCGACCACGTTTCGAGCACAAACTATTGCCACTCATAATCATATCAAGTCAC